ATATTGTACCGTGGATGGCCGAGTATTAAACTCTTTCTTCTGCTTCCAACTTTTATTCCACTCGGTACAACTTTAAATGCGGAACAGGAACAAACTAACTTCTAAATTAACGTCAATTTCACAAACAATAACAATAACAGGCGGAAAACTCGCGCTTCCTACTCCCGGAGTTTAACCTCTTCTGCACTCAGGCGCGGCGGTCACTTCACTCTCCCCGTCTGGTTCTCGTCGTCGCTTATATAGTTTTCTCCAGGTATTCCAGATAGTTCTAGAAATCTCCAAAACAGGTGCGAAACCTCCCGCTTGTCAGTGTCATTTTTGACAGTAAATGGGGCCCAAATGGGGCTCCCATTTACTGAAATACCATGAATTTCGATCCCCCATTCCAGACGTGAGTACCCCAGGCCATTTCCGTTACAATATTATAACAAATGGCATTCAAAAAACGTCATTGTTATTATCATTAATTAGCTGATCATATTCATTTGGCGCAATCTTATGGAGGTAATGGAGTTAAATCTGGAGACCTTGCAGGTCATTTAATTGGACCCCTTCCATCAGCAAAGTGCCGAAGCCGTGCCGTAACTTTCCGTCGGTTTTATTATTTTTTTATTTTATTGAGTAATTTTTTTAAATTATTTTATTACTTCGTACTACCTCAGCTACTTTTATACTTATAATGATAGATTTTCTCATCAATCTGGATTATTCTCCCCAAAAATCTTCAACTAAAGATCGCCAGTCAGATTTCCGGGAATGGAAAGCATTAAGTTTCCTAAATAGTAAGTGCGTAAAACAACCCTTCAAATTAATAAAAAAGACCTCGAAAAAAAATCGAATAGCTAGCTAGCTACTCCTGTCGAAGAGTTGAAAAAGGCTTACTAACCAAATCAGCAAGCAAAGAAGCCAGTAAACGTAAAACCATTTATTGGGCTGTTTATTGTTTTCATTTATTTTTAAAAGTTGAAAACAACCCTTCGATAGGTGTAGATAAGAATTATTTTTAATAAACGATTCCTACATTTTTTTCTCACATTTCTGCTGCCTTTTACGGGTAACTTTGGTCGCTGAATGCCGCTATGTAGCACACAACCCCTTCATGTGGAAACGGTTGACTGTCGTAGAATTTCGAAGGAGCGGCCGCCTTGAAGCTTTCCGGCCCTTCGTCAGCCAGCGATGGTTCCAAAGTGACCTTATCCAGCCAGGTCGTGTTGCCTCTATTGGCCACCAGAATCTCTTCATAAACTTTCGGATCCTGCAAATCGAAAAATCACAACTCTGGAAGAATGTCTGGATCCGGAAACGCTTACCACCAAATCCCTCAAGGGCTCCAACTGCTCTGGAGGCGGCTTGTTGAAGGGCTTGCGGATCTTCTGGCACTGCAGCATCATCAACATGAACCACATGAATTCGTCTCTCATTTCCACCTCTTTCGGTGTGCTGGAGAGCGTGAGGAGTTTGTCGAACCAGGCCCTCAATGGAGGTTTTTCTGAAAGGAAATCAAAGCATGATACGAATGAATGAATACATTGAAGATAATACCTTGCGCTGGAATAAGCTGAACCAAGGCCTTGGCCAGCATGCTGTTGTAGAAGAAATTCGCATCGGAAGCAGCCATTTTCACTGGAATTTCCTGAGCGACAACCCAATCAATCACTCACTGTCAAAGTCCAGGTTTTCCCAGGTTGATGAAGCATGGAAGAAGCATGGCGACCGCAATGATCGCCCTGAATGATCACTTCAAATACAACAGCAAAATAGCGCGCACTCTTCAACAGTTACTGCCTTCCATTGGTAAGTCGTGCGGGCAGCAGGAATTTCCTCAAAAGTTTTCCAGGGCATTAAAGCAACCTTTTGGCCATTAATTGGTGAAAACGTCAAGGCGCTAACTCAGCTCGTTTTGTTGGAGTGATTTTTTGAAAATCGATGGCAACTAAAGCAGTTTGAGTTTTCTCAAAACTTGCCTTAAAAGCTCCTTCTCGTCAGTCCAATGGCCAAAGTTGCCATGGCCAAAAAGGCACTTTTTTAGCTGCAAAATGTTGTAAAAAGCAACACGCTAAGTTAGCAGCTTTTTCGGAATTAATTTTTGAAAACCCCACTTTTGCTCGTTTTATCGAAGTCAAATCAAATTATTCGACCCACAGATTTAAACTTCGGTTAAAACTTTTCAGAGTTTTTCATTAAAATGAAACTTTCCCGGTCCTTGGAGAGAGGCTTTATCTATAAAATGGTGCCACAATTTGCGCTCTGTATTGGCTGGAAATTTTGCAGCGTCATTTTAAAACAAATGTTTCTGATTTTGTTAGGGCAAATTCAGCGACTTTTAGACACTGCCTTAAAATGTTATTAAAACTGGTCCAAATGTGGCACAAAAAAAATGCAACTTTCCACAGCATTAGGGCCTGGGTAACTCAGTGAATTTTTAGGAGTTGGCGCAGTGCTACGCAAATGGCTTGGTGCGCCAACCCCACGCACTGGCGCAGTAGCTTAGTTGCGTTGCCCGGAAAATGTTGATAATTTTTTTTCACTTGTTGTAGAAAATATTCTTTACATTTCTTCAAAATTTCAGAATTTTCCAGTTTTAGCAAAGTTATTCTTTCTTCTAAATGCTCAATTTTCCAAAGTTTCACTTAAAAATGGTGACAATCTTAAGGTAATTTCCACGAAAAACTATGAAATAAATTTCTAATCCTTCGTCGCTTTGTAAAAAGTTTTGAAATCCCTTTCCAGCCTCGAATTTGAAACAAAAATAAAATAATTTTCTATCAAAAAAAGAACAGAATAAGCGAAAGTTTATAATAAATTATTTAGAAATCTCGCCACCTCCATAACTCTGAAGACTGTAGAGTTTGTTAAAAAATGTGGTTTTTTGTTTTGACTGATTTCTTTTTGCTTTAGTTTCTACTCACAAACGCTCTATTTTGAAGAGTTTCACTTCAAAATACTGACGATATGGAGGTCTTTTTCGCGAAAAATTACCAAATAAATTTATAGCTTTGTAAAAATTTCGAATTTTTGAATTTCGAAATTGAAGCGTCGAATTCGCGACAAAAACGAAAATAAATTCCTCCCGTTTTTCCCTGAAAGCCATTATTCCTTTTACCAAAACTGACCACAAAACTGCCTGAAAAAAAAGTTTTTTATCGAAAACGCAAAAAAGCATTATTTTCCGGAAATTTTCTTCTTTTTTGTCAATAATGGGGTGTTTTCAGCAAAAAATGACAAAATTAATATTATTTGTCATATTCGCAGCCCACCGCTCATCGCTCTGAAGATTTTTAAAGATCCTTTAAATTGTCAGGTCGTTCCAGGTTTAACAAAGTTTTTATTAAGCAATTCTTTCTATGAAAAAATCGCATTATTTTTTAGTTTTACTTAAAACATTGACCATATTCACTTATTTTCTGTGAAAAAGTATAAGATACATTTTATTGGAACAATGGCCTCCTTAATCGCTTTGAAAAAATGTTTGGAAAACTTTTTTCAGCTTTGAATTATGGACAAAACCCTCATAATTATGTCTGGGTATTTTTCAAAAAATATTTCCCCGAACTGAAAAAGCGACAGTTTATAATAATTTATTTGGAAAACTCTTGGAAACTGGGTTTCTTCAGTTTTAGGTCAATACTGAAAATTACAGGTTACAGAAAAACCGCGTTTTTCCTAACGTTTTACTGTACACTGGCAAACTGAATCTTTTATGCAAAAAAATTAAGAGATTGATTTTACAATAAAACTCGTCAACTTTCTTTGGACTCAGTTCTGTTGCTAAGAAAATCTGGATGACTTTTTTTAGTTGTTTGAGCAGAGTAGTAGAAGAGTAGTAAGACCCTTTTTAGATGTGAAAATTCCGGTCTCGGGTCTCGTAAAGCGTTAATAAATCACTTATAACTCATGAACCGATGAGTTATAACCCGTTAACTCAGAGAGCGGTATAACTCAATAGCGCAACTCAACACAGTGTCACCCAGGCCTAATTAAGGCAACGTTTTCTCTTTAAAATGAGTCCCAATTCAAAGAAGTACCTGAGTTCATTCTTTAGAGATGAATTTTTGAAGACACTGTTTCCCAAAACGTTCGTCGTCAAAAACGTCCTCGATCGAAACCTTCATTTGGCTCAAGTTAATGCATTATTGAAAAACTACTGCTTTTGCAACTTTCTGAACTTTTGCAATTCTGTGACTGCAAAATGTTGGGCTTTCTAAAGGAGATTTTCCAGAGAGGAAAATGATCCAGCTGTGGTTCAACAAGTTGGAGCACATGGACAAAACAATGGAACAAATGGTGATTCGCAGCGATTACATGTGGTTCATTCTTCTGATGCTGCAAAGCCGCCGCATCAGAGAACCGTTCAATCAACTGCCGCCTCGTCATGTGGTGCCTTTGAGGAAATTCGTGGTAAGTTCGGAGCAAATCGAAGAAATAAAACACGCATTTTAATCAACCTTCGAACAGCCCTTGAATGTGTATGAAGAAGTGCTGATCTTGAATGAGCCCCACATGATCTACGTGAAACGGAAATCTTTAGACGACATCCTCAAAGTGAAGAAAAAGAGGACCGCCACCACTTCCTGCTCCTCGCTGGATCAGTTTGACTAATCCGACCAATCTAGTGCGCTAAAGCCTGTCCATTTGGTGTACAAATATAAAATTCGATGCGAAAAAATCAAGGTTAAACTTGCAGAATTTCTGCTGGGGTTTTTTCGGGTTTGGGTGTGGAAACATGCGATTTGGTCAGTTGATTGAAAGCCGGCTTTAAGCACTGAACATGCTGTGGGTGCAAACGACGTCGATTTTGGCTCTCATCTATCTGGTCGATTGCCATGTGGCGATTCGCCCGCGCGAGTTTCTAGTGGATGCTAAGAAACAGTCAAAAACAGGTAACATTTTTGCATTTTTTCGGATTTTTGTATTCGATTACTGAACTGCCGATTTAAGGAGGAACTGGAATTTGGGAATGTTTTCGTGAATTATTCCGGGCCCAACAAACTGCACTAGCTTGGCAAGTGAAAAGTGGTTTGAACCCCCCAAAACCAAACACTCAGTACATTTCCGCTAATATTTTGCGACTGGAATGATGTAAAATAAAGAGACTATTTGCAAAATTGCAGGATTCATCGGCAGAAACTGAACAGAGTGACATTGTTTCTTTTCGTGTTTTCAACAGTTGATGTCCTGGAAACGGCCAGTCTGAGCAGTATATCCCAATAATTAATTTTTCTCCCAATCGATTGCGGAACAAGCCAAATCAACCCACAGCTCGTTATACTGGGTGGCTGAAAAGTTAGAGCCAATTGAACGTAGACGTGTCAAGGAACGTGCACTTTCCCCTTAAAATGGCTATATCTCAAAAAACCAAAGCTCTCTATACCTAGTGGGTCAAGAGTTAGGGCCGATTGATTATGTCGGAGCTCTTCGAGCGCAACAATAAGTTAGACTCATTCCTGTCAGAGGGCGTTTTTGTCGATTTTAGTTCGACCTATTCCCGTCAGTTAACTTCGACTTATTCACTATAGAGGGTGCTTTGTCGATTTTAATTCGACCTATTCCCGTCAGAGGGCGCTTTTGTCGATTTTAGCTTGACTTATTCCCGCCAGAGGGGGCTTTTGTCGATTATTTTATTATTATTTTGTCGATTAGTTCAACTCATTCACTTCAGAGGGCGCTTTTGTCTAGTTTAGTTCGACCTATTCTCTTTAGAGGGAGCTTTGTTAATTTTAGTTGGACTTATTCACTTCAGAGGCCGCTTTTGTCGATTTTAGTTCGACCTATTCCCTTTAGAGGGCGTTTTTGACGATTTTAGTTCGGATTATTCGCTATAGAGGGTGCCCAACAAGCTTGTCTCTGATAACGGAGTAGTATCGTCTCTCAACATCAAGATATCAAGATCTGTAAATCAGGCAACCAACATTCCCAGTCGGTGAAAGCTGGGTTGCATAGCCTGAATCCAGTGCTACCACGATACTGCAAGCTCCTCATATTTTCTAGAACCGCGATGAGAAAATAAAGCAAATTTTTGACTTCTTGAAAAATTTACAGGCAAAAATAGGCCACTCGCAAACCAACCAAAAGACAATGAAACCTACAAATCGTTGATAGTATTTTTAAAGCGCTTTAAAAGATCGACTCTTTTTGCTACCTACCAGTGGTGACCATGGATTTTTAGACACTTATCAGTTGAGGTTATGTTACGACATAACCTTACTACGTTAAAAAACAAAATTTTGCCAAAATTCTCTAAAAACATGCTGATAACCCAGCCCTAACCTTTCCAGTCCTTAAATAACATCCAGCAGTATAGATGCAGATATAACCGCTTAATATGGAAGCCCCCAGCATAGACAGGACTCGCTTGGAAGCCCTAACACGTGAGAACGATGCGTACCTGGAAATATCCAAAAAAATCGCCAGCGGCAAGTAGCTCAAGCCACCAGTTTGTTTCCCTGCTCACAAGCCCAATTTGTAGACATTTCCTCCAAGGCGCTGTCCATTCAAGACGCAGTGGACCAAATGGGGTGCCTGTTGCTGAGCCCGGAGCACCAAAAACGAGACTTGGGGGTTCTATTGTTGAGCGACATTCTGCACAACCTCCCAAGCGCCTGCTTAAGCCCAGAGCAAGCGGCTGTCCTGGCAGCGTTTCTGAGCGAGAAGCTCAAAGACCATCATCAGGTTGAAGCTGACCATGAGACAAGGGCCTACTGAATTTTAATTCCCATCCATTCAAGGTAGCCACGTCTGCTTTAAAAGGGGTGCTGGCGCTTGTAGGTCTTCCCAATCTTCCCCCTGATGGCACCGTGCAGCTCCTAACAATCATCTTCAATCACATCAGCTGCCAGCAACAGCTACAGCTGGATAGATATGTTATCTTTCAGATTTATCACTCTGCCCTCACGGTACATACTAAAGGTACGCTGTTTTGTGTGAGTGCGGCCCTTTGTATCTAATACTAGCAATTTTCTAGAAGTCCAATCCATGGGACTGGACTTCGTCTATGGGGTGATTTCCTCTATAGAAGGGGAACGAGACCCCAAGAATTTGATGTACTTATTCCAGTGGCTACAGGCCTTTTTGCAGGTCGTCGACTTGCAACATCTGACCGAGGAAATGTTCGATGTCCTGTCCTGCTACTTCCCAGTGGACTTCAAGGCGCCGCCCACCAGCCCCACTGTAAGCATTGGCTAGCTTTCGCTCAATCAGCGTGATTTTTTTGCGGAATTTCAGCTCATCACGCGCGAGGCTCTAGCGATGGGGCTCTGCCGCTGTCTCACGTCTATTTCGGCCTTCGGCCCCTTCTCCATTCCGCTCGCCTTGGAGAAACTCGACTCGGCGCTCAAGATTGCCAAAGTTGACGCTCTGCATCTGCTGGTAAGGGGGCGCCCGAAGGGCCCAAAGCTTCTTCGCTATTGACTGGGTGTAAATGAATTTTTTATAGCGTTGCTTCTAGCTGCAAAAAACTGACTTGGAAGTTGAAACATTTTAAACCGGAAAGCGCAGTTAACTGAATACTTCCAGTATGAGGTCAATATTGAGTCTCATATTTTAAATATTCATATTTCTCACCCACCAAAGTTTTGTTCGTCCATTTTCATGAAGCTTTCTTTGAGTTCAAGTGTCTTCTAAGCATTGTGAAATTGCTACAAGTCGCAGGGTTAGTTGGGTAACGCAAGCGTTAGCTTGAAGGAGACAATAGTTGAAAGACAGGAGCAAAATTGAGTAAAAACATCCATTTCGAGATCTATATTAGGCGTGGGTAACACTGTGTTGAGTTGTTGCCGCTCTCTGAGTTAACGAGTTACAACTTATCGGTTAATGGGTTATAAGTAATTTATTAAAGTTTTACAAGACCTGCAACGTTTTACTACTTTAAAACTAATGGGTTTTTAGGCCGTCGTTGGTTGGTAAAACCCGAAAAACCCATTAGTTTCTGGAATGGCCTCGAAAGTCTATCTCTTTTGTTTTACTACTTTGTTCAAACAACTAAAAAAAAGTATCGATCTCTTAATTTTTTGCATAAAAGATTCAGTTTGGCAGTATTTTACAGTAAACCGTTGGGAAAAACGCGGTTTCTCTGTTTAGCGACAGTGTTGTTTTGAAATATTGACCTAAAAGTGAATAAACTCCAGTTTCCAAGACTTTTCCAAATAAATAATTACAAACTTATTTTTGGAAAAAGACCCAGAAATAATGATTACGGTTTTGTCCATAATTCAAAGCTTTCCAAAAGTTTCAGAGCGATGAGGGCGGCGAATTTTCCAAATAATTGTTCGTAAACTTTTGCTCTCTGGTCGTTTTTTCAAGATAATCATACCTAATGACTTTCGGTAAACAACTGAATAACATTATTTGGTTTTTGTGCCAAATTCGAAGCTGAAATGGGTTTTTTAAAGTTCCCTGCAAACCGATGAATGAGGCTAATTAGCCTCTTTTTTATTTTTTTTCGCGTAAAAGACCTCCAAATCGTCAGTATTTTTAAGTGACACTCTACAAAATGGAGCGTTTTTGAGTAGAAAGTAAAGCAAACAAATATTCAGTCAAAACTAAAAACCACGTTTTTTTAACAATTTCTGCAGTCTTCAGAGAACTTTCGCTTATTCTGTTCGTTTTCTGATGGAAAATTATTTGATTTTTGTTCCAAATTGGATGCTGGAAACGGATTTCAAAACTTTACCAAGCGACGAACGATTCAAAATTTATTTCATAATTTTTCGCGGAAAATACCTCAAGATTGTAGTATTTTTATGTAAATCTTTAGAAAATTGAGCATTTAGAAGAAAGAGTAACTTGGCTAAAACTGGAAAATTCTGAAGAATTTTAAAAATATTATTAATTGGCCCTTAAAATAAATCTGTTATCAACATTTTCCCAACCCCGGCACTGAGTTACTGCGCCGGTGCGTTGGGTTGGCGCACCAAACCATTTGCGTTGCAGTGCGCCAACTCCTAAACATTCTCTGAGTTACCCAGGCCTAATCAATATTTATGAAGCTGGCAAAACTGTGAATTTCGAATGACTAATGACATTTTCATTACCAATAGAGGGAAAAGTGTTCTAAAGATGGTGAAAATTTGAAATTGCTACTCACTTCAGCTTAAAAAATACGAAGCGCAGTAAATAAAAAAACATCTATTTTTAGACCTACATTTGCCAAGCTTACAAATCTGAGAACTCCAGGTGATTTTAATGGAATTTCATCACCAGTAGAGTGACATTTTTTCTATTAACCCTAATAATTTCAAATTGCTACTCGCTTTACTTCTCAAAATGCGGTTTTTGAAAGAAGGGAGCGCAGTCGAACAAAAACATCCATTTCGAGATCGATATTTACACAGCTGACAAAACCATAAATTTCAAGTAACTAACCAAATTTTTACCACCTGTAGAGTGAAGAGTCCTCCAAAGATGGTTGTTGAAAATGGCAAATTGCTGCTGGCGAGAATTTGGACATTGCGAATTTATAATCATTCCATCAGACCGCCTCTCTATATTTCAGAAATTCGGCTGCTTGAGCTATGAATCAGAAGTTTACTACCAGAACTCCATTGAGATCTGGGCGCAGCTCCAAAAGGAGATATTCGCCAGCCCAGACGCCCAGCTCCGAAGCCAGTGCTTGGACACGCTGACGCATGTGATGGGCAAACTCTCGGAGGGCGATCGGAAGAACTTCGAAAACACCGTATTGGATATCGTGGGCACTCTAAGAGGCAACCTGCTGCCGGATTCCAGGCTGTTCCATCAGAGCAGCTCGATTTTGCTAAGCATCGCAAAAGCGAGCGACCTCTCGGGTCGGCTTGTGGCTGAACGCGTGGGGCCTCTAATAGAGAACACCCTCAAAATCACCCCCGATCCGCAACAGAAAGCCACTCTTCTGCACACTTTGATGGAATTCTTCCAGGCCAATGGCGCGGATTCATTGAGGGACTGTTGCTCCTCTTTATGCGCCCAGGCGATTCTAAGCAGCAACCCCCATTTAGCCGTAGAAGGTTTCCAAGGGTTCGCCTCCCTAGCGGGGGTTGTTTCCGACGAAGCCCGCCAGGGCTTCCTGCTCTCGCTCCATCAGGCCGTAGTTGCCCCTTTGCCTGCCGCCCTCAAGCTGGCCATCCACAACAGTCTACACAAAATAGCAGAGGCGTTTCCCAATGAAGTAAAACTGCGCGTTTTACGCAACGAAACCCTCACCGGAAGTGGTTTGGAGGCTTATTTAGCCGCTTTGGCTGAAATGGTGGACCTGGAAAACTTCCAGGCCTCTGTGATGGAGACTTTCATCAAATACTCAATTCAGGACTTGGATGGAAGCGCTGCCGCGCTGCGGCAACTGAGCGACTTACTAGGCAAGCACCCGGAAACCGTGGCAGTTTTAGTAGAAAAAGACTTTCTGGGCCAACTAGTGAGCTTTCTTAAGGGACTGGAAGCCCTCAGGGCTCTGCCTGAAGGGTTTCTGCGCGCCCTCAACCAAACCCTGCAACTAATCGCGCGACATCAACCCGCCGATTGGCAATCGGCCAATTACAAGGCGGCCTCCGGCAGCCGATTCCTCAACGAAAACCTCCAGGTTTCCACTCTGACCGGCCTGGTAATTCCCATGACTATCTCAGTGGTCCAAGACCACCTTCACCCAATGGATTTGCTCCTCAATGCCGCCCTGAACAGTCCGGAAGAATTTGTGCGCGACATTTCCCTCAAAGCCCTCGCCAGCTTACTCAACAAACTCAAAGGTCAGTTGGAAGACTTTAAATTTAGCAGACACTTAAACCGTTGCTTCAGAGGAAGATTTGAATGGAAACTTGGCCACGATTCGCCAAAGATGTGAAGGAAACGGGAAAATTTCGCTTGCTACCTGGGTGACCAAGGGGCTAGTCACTAGAAACCACCCCACTGGCTGGCAATGGACGGATTTGGTGAGTTTCACTTGAAAGCAATTGTTGGATTTGCCCCAAAATTCGCCGGTTTCCAGCTGCTGGACTGTCTGGCTGACGATTCTCAAGTTGGCCGGGGATTGAGGACAGTGCTGGACGAAAGTCAGAGGGTTTTGTCCAAAGAAAACCACTGCCAGATCATGTAAGTTCTATCTCGAATTGAGTTGCGAAAATCTGGATCTGGCCTGTGCGCTTTGAAATATACCCACCTGTTAGACAAGTGCGGCACCAACAACTTTTCTTCGGGGTGTTTTTCAGGAAAATGTACCACTTTTAACGCGCTGAAACTTTTCCTACTTTTCGAAAAAAGGACAACTGATGTCAAACTGTTCTTACTGTCTGTCAAATAGATGTCATGGTTACAGATCGGACAATTTCGGGCATTTCGCCAGTTCAACAACCGATGGCGATGGGGGCGCTCCGAAACGTCAAATTACTTGTTGTCGAGTGACAGTTGCGACTTGTCAGACTCGTTTATTGATTGGAGTTGATGACATTTATAACATAAAACAATACTTACACACTTTTCGATCTGTTTCTAGGTCTTTAAAAGCTAGCGAAAGTTGATTAGAACAAAACAAATTACAATCAGATGTAAACACCAATGTCAACAAAACAAGTGGCTCTTCTTGTCAAAAAAAGAAGAGAATCATCGGAAAATCATGCTTTTTTGCGTTTTCGATTAAAAACCTTAACGGTTTTCGAAAAAAAAAACGGTAAAAATGTATTTTCGTTTTTGTCCCGAATTCGGCGCTGAAAAAAGTTTTCGTAAAATTTTTACAAAGCTGTAATTGGTAATAATCTTGTAATTTTTTGCTTAAAAATCCTCCAGATCGTCAGTATTTGTAAGTGAAACTCTAGAAAATAGAGCATTTTTGAGTGGAAAGTAAAGCAAACAAATTCAGTCAAAACTAAAAAAAAACAAATTTTTTTACAAATTCTGCAGTCTTCAGAGAACTCTCGCTTATTCTGTGCGTTATCTGATGCAAAATTATTTGATTTTTGTTCCAAATTGGAAGCTGGAAAGGAATTTCAAAACTCTTTATAAAGCGACGAACGATTCAAAATTTATTTCATACTTTTTCGCGGAAAATACCTCAAGATTGTAGTATTTTTAAGTAAATATTTAGGGGAGTGGAGGTGACGAGATTTCCAAATACTCTGTTATAAACTTTCGCTTATTCTGTTCGTTTTTTGATAGAAGATTGTTTGATTTTTCTTCCAAATTCCAAGGTGGAAAGGGATTTCAAAACTTTTTACAAAACAACGATGGAATTGAAATGTATTTCATACTTTTTCGCGGAAAATACCTTTAGATTGTCAGCATTTTTAAGTGAAACTTTAGAAAATTGAGCATTTAGAAGAAAGAGTAACTTGGCTAAAACTGAAACTCTGAAATTTTTAAGAAACTTTCAAAGTCTTATTAATAAATGGCTCTTAAAATAAATCTAAAATGAACAAAAAAAATCATCAATATTTTCCCAGCAACAAAACTGAGTACTGCGCCGGTGCGTTGGGTTGGCGCACCAAGCCATTTGCGCAGCACTGCTAAAACACCTAAAAATTCAATGAGTTACCCAGGCCTACAAATTACTACTTAACTTTATAATTTTAACCACCAGGGGGCGTCTGGACTTTTGCACTCGCGATTTGCAAATCCACATTTTGTTTGTGGTTGATTGTTTAGTTATTTGGATTAGTTTTGGTTAATTACTTTATTTTTTGTTGGTTTTGGTTGATATTGTTTAGAATGGTTTTACCAAAGTAGCCGGTTTTACTAAGAAAAAGTGTTGGGAAAATGGCTGATCTACAATGTGAGTCCTGTGTTGTTTTCGAAAGCCCAAAGGCGCAGACCTAAATAATTATCTGGCATTATAATAAATGGCATAAATAATTAATGGCAGAAGTTCACCGAACTGGATTTTTTCCAGGCCTCTCTACCGGCAGAAGTTCTTCATCCACTGCATGAACCGACTGAATAGGGAACAAACGCCTACTGAAGCCCACTTGAGCGCTGTGGGCCTTTTGATGGAAAACACCCCGAAAATGGCCATCGTCAACCATTTTCCGAAGGTAATATTCGCAGCCAAACCCTTAACAATCTAAACAAACTTTGTGGCTTTGCACAGATCTTCCGCCTGGTGCTGTTGTGCCTTGAAAAATCCCCTGATCCTGAAGCGCTGGTAGTCATTCTTCAAACGATCACCGACTTTGTAAAGGGCGGTGAAGCCATAATCGAGGACCGGTTGGAGGATATTTTAGTTAGAGTGCTAGATTTAACCGTTTTCCAGTCCTCAATGGTGAGAATCTTTCATGGGTGTCGGCGAATTTTGTACATTCAACTGTTAATTAGGTGGTTCGACTGTGCGCAATCACCTGCATTCATCAGATGACCAAAACGTACAAAACCTATCAACTGCTGCCCTTCAAAGGGCGCGTAGTGGAACAATTAGGGATTTGCGTGGACGACAGGAAGCGCCTAGTTAGGAGGAAAGCGATGGAGTGCCGCGCCTTGTGGTTTTTGCTGGACGCCCCACTTTAGACTTCATCGGAAACCGTACATAAAATAGGATTTATTTGGTTCGGAAAATCGCAATTTCCGTCTTGTTTTAACAAAATATAAAATCAATTTACTGGACGTTCCTTCAACAAACTAAATTATCACACTTGGGGGGGTTTATTACTAGGAAACTGGGCTCCCTACCTTCTTGGATTGGGGCGCTCGTTCGAGCTGCGCAGTTTTATTGTCGCATCGCACTTTTCGTTCCAGTCGCATTCAATGGGTCGGATACTCGCTGGCAATGTTCGTAAAGTTTTGCAAACAACAACCGAAGTTGCTTCTAGTGTCGCTCAGTATGCTTTTTACCATGCCGGTGAAGAAGCTGGTATAGTGAGGCTTTTCCGTGTACCTGCAAACCCAACAGTCACCCGACAATCTCAGCAGACTAGTTGAAACCGCACCTTTCGTAGTGATCCAGCAAATCCTGCAGCTTCAACGTTAGACTGTCGTAGTTCTTCTTCACAATGTCCAAGATTTGATCTTCTGTAGGCGTTGACAGGTTGCTGGAAGCCAGCCATTGGTCGATTTTTGGATTAAAGTGCTTGATGATGGCGCGGACATTAAACAGCGCATTGTTCAGCTTGAGAGCGTCTTCCTTGAAATCCCCCTCACTCATTGAGTATCTGAGAGCTGCAAAAAACACATCGAAAGCCCTCAAGTATTCCACCCCACACCCAACACTCACCCATTGAGCTTACGTTGTCAAACACTTGATGCATGCGGATGATTTCATAATAAAGCTCATCATAGCTGCCAGGTGTTGGCAGGAAATTGTCCCCGTAAGTGATAAAAAAGTTCAGGATGTTCACCACTTTGATGCAGAGCTCGAAGATGTTCATTTTCTTGCCCAGGTAGCTCTCGTTTTGCACAATGAATCTGAGTAGCGCAATTAGGGCGGTCCAGAGCTCCTTCCACACATAGTTCACTCTTATTCGGCACTTTTTCTGATAGCCCAGGATGCGCTGAATGATTCCAATGCACAACACGTACAGTTCCATGGGGAATTTCTTCATCATGTGACTGAGCATGAATTCCACCAGCAAATCTACCCAAAGAATGAAATAGTTTAGATCTCAATATTGTCCGAAAGCGCCAAGCGCATGTTGCAAACGATTGGCCCTAATTTTTGAGCCACCGAGAATAGCGAGCTCTGGTTTGGATTCGATTGTTCCTCGAACAGTTTATAGCAAAAAATGTATACTTGGCCGAAAAAAAAATTAACTCAATTAGTGTCGGAACGTTAGAGTGAGCAGCAACATCGGTAACTATTGAAAGAAAACAACCAAAAACTAATTATTTCCGGATGGATTTCGGAAATGAAATTTCGTCGGGCGTTGACCATTGGCATCTTCTACACGGACAATTAATTTAGGAAATTGTACCATTTGTATGAATTCCCAAATTGTCGAACGGCTAGGATATTTAAAGCCCGTTACGCTACTAATACCCAAAATGTGCGCAAAATATACAGGATGATTCACAACCTTATGGACACAGATCAGGGGCGTGTAGAGAACCTCAAAACAAATTGAGTTTCCATATAAGTTTTTGTTCTCAAGCCCATGGTTAACGGCCCACAAATTTTTAACGTAGGCTAATGTTTAGACTCTTTACCCGTAGGTAAGGCAACTAACTGATTGTGAAAATATATAGGGTGTTCTTTTTTTAGAGGTATACCCCCTTTTACCCCCCACCCCTCGAACTTTTTTGTGGTGCTGCACTGACTTCGACCGAAATAATTTTTGAATTTGTTGTTCAATTTAACAATTTATTTATCTCTTGCAGTTTTTTCGTATATGCCTTCGTTTTCCAGTAATTTGCACAAGCATAAGTCCATGTAGGGTTTCTGAGTGACTTTCTATGAATTGTTTTATATTTTTTTGTGTCTTGTTGTTCACATTTTTCTGTGAAAGATTCAAGTGCAAGTTGAACTTAAAATAGGGATGGCTCACGAGTTAACTTTAAAATTTATTTTTTTACTTTAATTTAATTTACAATAATTGAGTTTCATCGGCTGTAAGCTAATCCAAATAAAAATATACAAAAATGTACCGCATATTTTAATTTATTATGAAATTAATTTATTTCATAAAAATTGTGAACAAAAGGACGCAAAAAAAAATTATAAGGAAATTCATGGAAAATCACCCAGGAACCCCACATGGACTTATATTTGAGCAAATAACTCGAAAACGAACACAGATACGAAAAAACTGCAAGGGATCAGAAAATTCTTAAATTGAACAGCAAATTCAAAAATGTGTTCAGTCAAAGTCAGTGGCGCACCACAAAAAAATTCGAAGGGTAAAACGGGGTATGCCTCTAGAAAAATAAACACCCTGCAGATTTTCACAACCAGTTGCCCTACCTACGAGTAATGGGTCTAAACATTAGCCTACGTTAAAAATTTGAGCAAAACATCTCAAAAACTGTAGGAGTTAAAGAGAAAATATCAAAGCTTGTTTGAAACTTACACCCTGTATTTCGTTAACCATGGGCCTGAGAAAAAAACTTAAATGGAAACTCAACTTGTTTTGAGGTCCTCTACGCGCTGCTGCTCTGTGTCCACAGGGTTGTGAATCATCCTGTATAAAAAACTCATTTTTACAGGCTAAATTCTCAACTTACCCAGTAGGGTGCAAACCAACGACTGGCTAGACGTGGTCTTATCACTGGCCAGCTTTCTGTGCCGCATCGGCAGCCTGTGCAGCCTCACCTTAAAGGCCAAGCTCACATCATGCATCAAAGAGTTCGCATATTGATCCTCAGATATACAGCCCAGAATGAGAAAGCACAGCTTGACAGTATTGGCGCCCGGCTCGGTCTTTGTATCCTGCATCACTATTGAACTAAAAAAACACAGTCAAGAATACCAATTCTTTTAGCCAGACAACAGCAGCTGACTTACCAGTACTGAAAGAACGTAACCAGAAGATTTGAAGGCTGCAAGTTGACATCGAAAGCCACTGGCATGCTTGGCAAGTCCCCCAATCCTTGGATATTGTTGTGTAAAGTATTGTTGGGGGATGGGGGGCTGCTGGCATCAGTCTGGGTCTGAGCCAGAGTGGTGATAAAGTTCCTATTCAAATGAACCGCTTCGTAAAAGGCCAAGAGCAGAGCGTTGTTCGCTCGGATTTGCTGACTGCGAAAAGCCCCTTCTTCCGATATAAACATACTACCAACCATGTTGGTGAGCGAAGAAAACCAGCTGGAGTTCTGGTTCTCCACATGTTCCACATTGTACTGGTTGCAAAAGTCGGTTAAAGAGGCGGTAATCACCTGGCCGTAGCCGTTTAAGGCCAGCTCATCGTCCAGAATGGACAGCTTGACCACATAGGGGTTAGTAGCGTCATATTTCCTGTAATTGACCAGCAGTGTTATAATCAAAACGACATCATATCCATGCTTTTGCCTGGTGGGCACATCGGAGAGCAATTTAACCAAACACTCGAAAATCGAGGACATTATAATGTACTCAATCAGGGTGTTTTGGCTGAGATTGTCCGTGCCAATTATCAGGATGATAATTAGCTTCAAGCACAGTCCCCTGATGGAATCGGTGTATTCCCCTGAAAGCCATCGATTAGAGCTACTCACGCATTACGCATCAGTAAACTTTTAGGGCGCAACCCTACCTTCAAGGAACAAATGGCAAAAGTCCAGCAATTTCTGAATGTTGGCCACATAGCTGTCGAACCCGGCCAGGAACTCAATAGCCTGCACATTATTATCCGCCTGAGTTTCACCTAGTTTCTTGAAAATCGTATGCAGAAACCCGCAAAGAGTCTGCAGGCCATAGGCCGCCCTAATACTAGCATTATCGGCCAGAATCGCTATGCACTGTGCGAACAGGTCGTTCAAGTTGGGCTTGGCTAGCTGCAGCTGCTCGGGGGAGAGTTTCAGGATTTCAGCCTCCAGAACCGCCAATTTGGGCTTCAGCAGGAAAAACTCCTCCCAAAACAGTGGATTGTTTGGGCCGATTTCTTCCCCTTTCAGGATGGTTTCGTAGATTTGTACCACTTTCTCTTTGAACTGGCGCTTCGAACCGCTTCCACTTCGCCTTCTGGATGCCATCCTCTGGACCGAACACTGTTCTCTTTTTTATTAGGCAAACACTGTTTGGCACGGTTGAAATTGAAAGTGTTGGATTATTTTGACAATCCCGATGTCAGGTTAACTCAAGCGGGCTGCTTCTCTACTAGCAAAGTGAAAAATGGCGCCTGTAGGCAGGCTGAAGAAACTAACGATATTAATTAATTTCTAAACTGTTTCAAACACTGTATATTTTGCATGCTATGCCTTGGATAGTGTCCAAACTTAACAGTAGTAATAAAACATAGTTTATAACCAATTTAAACTTTTAGTGTGTGAAATTGTGCAAAAGGCGCGGTTTATGTAACTCAATTAATATACAGGGTGATTCTATATACAAGGTGGCCATTTTCTGAATCTTTGTATGGGTAACTTCTACATTTTTAAAGATAGAGAATCCGTTAAATGGGCAAAGTTGGGCAGAATTCGATTGCCTATTCATTGCCGTTTTCAAAATTTAGGTACCCGACTTAGTTCCTGAAATATCCTGAAAAGACAAGAATCAAAACTTTTTTAATTATCACTTATTACGTAAACTGGTTAACTTAGAAAACTTCTTGCCTTGAATCCAATGCTTTGTGTGATAATATAGTTCTTGTTTCCATAGTCTACTATACAATTTTTATCTTTTTTTTACGTTTTACGGCAACAAAAGGCGAGAAACATACAAACAGTTATATCGTTAAATTCAGAGAAAAATAAGAATTTTAAAAGGCCCACAGCCAACTATGATTAGCATTTAAAAAAGCATAACTTTATTTTTTACCTCGTAAATCAAGTTGACTATGACAACGAGTCCTATTTTATTGAATTCAAAGCAAAAAGTTCTACCAGACAATTTTAACTTTTTCTCTAAGTTAAGCAGTTTACGAACCATATGATAACTAAAAAAGTGTTGATTTCTTGTCTTTTCATGATATTTCAGGAACCAAGTCGGGTACCTAAATTTTGAAATCGGTAATGAATACGCAACCAAATTCTGCCCAATTTTGCCCATTTAACGGATCTCTATCTATCTTTAAAAATGTAGAAGTTACCCATACAAAGATTCAGAAAATGGCCACCCTGTATATTTTTAAAATATATATTTAATTTATTAATTATAGGTACTTACAGGTTTTCAAAGCCACATTGATTCCCACTTCGTCTGTTTCGGTTAGTTTTTTTTGTTAACAACTGCGAGAAAAATTGCGCTATCTGTGGCGTAAAAACTACCAAATTGTTCGGATTTTTTCCAATTTTGCCCAAAAGTTGGGATTTTGGAAAAGCACTCTCTGAATACTCCCAGTAGGCCTGGGTAACACAGTGAATTTTCAGGAGTTTGCGTGGTGCTACGCAAATGGTTTAGTGCGCCAACCCAACGCATCGGCGCAGTAACTCAGTTCCGTTGCTGAGAAAATGTTGATGACTTTTTTTAGATTTGTTTTAAAGTTTTTGTTTCATTTATTTGCCTGACTGCGTGTAATTGTTAGTATATTTTTTTTCCTGGATTTCAGTCAAAATGCGAAATAAAAATGTTCATATTTCGTTTCGGCGAGACAACAGCGCCATCATCAGATTTAAAATTCCAAACAAACCCATAATTGGGAAACATTAGATTCCTTGTAGGCTTGGCTGTCTTAAAAACCTCGCATTTCTTTAAATTATTGTCTACATTTGCGAATGTAGACAATAATTCAAAGTGCGACCTCCATCAACACCCGCAAAAGACTCGAAATAAGCGGAAAACAAGCAAGCCTGGACAAAAAGCCATGGAAACTCCTCAAAGACGTTTTCCACTTCTTCTATTGACACTGATTTTGTTCTCCAAAACATGCCAGAACTGGAAACCTTTCTAGTTAGCTGCGGGAAGCTTCTGGACGATCTAGAAGTCCAAGGCAGCTCTCTATGCGCTGAAATAAGCGAGCGACTGATCATTCTAAGCGCTTCGTTGAAGACTCTTAAATCCTCCATAAGTAGAGAACGGGAGCTGTGGCGGGAGGAAGTGAAGCAAACCATTGAGCTGGAGCAGAGGCTTTCAGCCTCCCAACTGAAGAGCAGTGGAGACTGTCATCACCTGGAAAAACTAACCGAGGCTTTCCTGAAGAGCCAGACGAAGATCCAGAGGGAATTGAGCGGCAGCGTATACAAACAGCAGCTGCTAGAGGCGGAGAACTTGTGCAACATGGAGATGCTGAGAATCAATCACAGTTTGGAGAGTTTGGCGCCTTTGCAAGCCATTGTGAGCGACTGGGGCTCGGAGGGTGAAGAAACCAGAAGCTCGCTGTAGTTATTTCCACTAATTACACCAGTACGCAAACAATAGCGTTTCTTTGCAAAAGTGCGCGTCCGCTGTTGCCCCATCGTTATCGCAACGATAACACGGAAAATATTTTGGAAACTACACAAAACGCCGCATCATAGGGAGTTGTTGACTGGAAGACAACACCCGATAAGCAGCGGATGTCGCAACATTTTTCACTGGTTTATTTAACGACGATAAGCGGTTCTGATACCTCTCTAAAAATCATTAAGGCATGAATAGTGATTTACAGATTTAATTGCCGATTGTGACCCGAGCAGGTCAGTTTTCCAAAGAAACCAAACATGGCCCTTAACAGTGCGAGAAAAATAGCTGAAAAGTGCGGCAAATGTGCGGAAAGAAGATGGTTCAGTCACTTCGCGTATAGTCCTGATGAAAATGTTAACATTGCGGGTAAAAGCAGGATTAACCAACTAGTCCAGGCATAGTGATTCTATGATGCCACGATTTTTTCAAGGTGAAAAGGCCAAGATGAACATGTTCCAAGCCATCAACAATGCTTTAGACTCGGCGCTGCGGACCGATTCAAAGGCGATAGTATTTGGTGAAGACGTGGGCTTTGGAGGAGTCTTCAGATGCACTTTGGACCTGCAGAAGAAGTACGGCAAAGAGCGCGTTTTCAACACCCCGCTGTGCGAGCAGGGCATCGTGGGCTTCGGAATCGGGGCGGCGGCCGCAGGCCTCACTTCCATAGCGGAAATCCAGTTCGCCGACTACATTTTTCCTGCCTTCGATCAGGTATTTGAACGAACGTGAAAAGGCCTCAAACTAATCCACCGTAATAGCTAGTTAATGAGGCTGCTAAGTACCGGTATCGGAGCGGAAGTCTGTTTGATTGCGGCAGGCTGACAGTGCGAGCGCCTTGTGGGGCCGTAGGCCATGGGGCGTTGTACCATTCTCAAAGCCCCGAGGCGTATTTCGCTCACACGCCCGGACTAAAGGTGAGAAAACTCCACTTTAGGGTGACCCGTTTTCCACACTTTTGTAGGGTCCATCTCCTATCAGTGCTATCAAAAAGTAGTACAGGTGGGGGGCTGGTTTAAGGCCACTTTGTCGTGCAAAGAAACGCCAGTTACAGGGAAACCACGTTCTGCTGATAAAAAAATTGTATTGTAATTGTTGCGTATCGGATAGGGCAGGGACGAGCAACACGCACGGGGCGGCCACAGCATAAAGATCATAATAATGAATGATTAATTAATACAGGGTGGTTTTTTATTGCGCGAGAGTACATTATTTCCGTTGGGGTTGAACTTTCGAAAAATAGTTTCATATAAAAGTTGTTGGCACACAAAGTGCGCATATTTTAAAAATACTTTATATGATATAGAGTGTCTCAGAAAAGCGAGGCAAGATCAAAGTGTATTTTTTTAAACAGAACTACCCATTTTTCATTAACTAATGGAATGCAGCTTGAAACGCTGCATATGCACCGTAAATTGTTTTTTTCTTACTTGCGACGTTGGCAGATTATCGCCATTTTAGTAAAATTTTTCTTAATTCATTCATTGTAGAAGCATAAAAAAGCAGTTAGATACAAAAAAATACGTCTTTCCAATCACCACAGATCCGTTAAGAATTCTATTGAACCAAAATATCAATACGTTGTACATTGTGGACTGAAATCTAAAACTTTTTAACGCAATATTACTTTTGTTTTTCAAATGGAAGTACCTGTACAGGGTGTCCCGTAAGCACATGATCAAAAGGGTACTGCGATATTCTTTGAATCAAAAGAAGACGATCTGACCTAACTTTTATTAACAAAAAATGTCTGGCTCCTCGGCTATTGATGGTCAAAGTTCTTCAAAAAATTTATCTTTTTTTAAATACCGGGAAAATGGTACGATGTATTTTGGTGAAACTCGCTGTGAATGTGTTCTTATGTAAGATTCATAGTTTGACGAAACAATCGAATTCAGCCGTTTTGGACAAGCGGTGAATTCTTGAGTGTCGTGATATAAAAACTTTTTATTTGGTGGATGGAATCAACTCATTTTTTTGTTCGTTGATGCACTAATCATTTGTTCACAATTTTGTGCTTTTTGCAAAATCTTGTAACATTCATAGTTTTTGCGCAAAAAAAATAAATGTTTTCTAGCCTAGTGTAACTGCTTGTGCGCATGTGATGCCAGGCTGGATTGTTTGACTGTTATTTGGTGAGTTTTGCTTAGATTGCGTAATTATTTCTCTTATCTTTGGGTAGAGTTTCTGCTGCAGTTGTTTATGGACCAAACATCCCCTGCAGTTGGCCGAATGGTTCTCGGCACAGTTTACACATTTCACTGAGTTGTCTTTTACCGTCTTTGCACATTCGCTTGTGGGATGTTGTTCTGCACATTTAACGCACCTTGGATTTCTCTGACAGAAATTCTTGGTATGCCCAGAATGTTGGCACTTTGTACTTTGCGGAATGGTTCTTGTAGTTCTCGGTGCTTCGACAATAACTCTAGAGCTCATAGTTTCAACTTATATATTTCTTTGTTGCCTTCTTTTTGCTTTAAGTCCACGAAGAACATTGGCAGAGGTTCTTTAGTTCGATTCTGCTTAACGTTCCAAACACTGACAACTTCATGCCCTAATTGTTCTATGTTTTGTTTAATTCCTTCTGTATCAGTAGAAGCATGAACGTTTTTCAAAACAACCCGGACACTTTTCTCTTGTTTGGGTTTGTATGTATGAAACTGCGTTTTCGACCAATGCTTTGGTAATCTCCCCAACCAATAATCACTCATTTTCGTCCGTCTCTGATACTTACGTTTTCTTCCGGACTTCTTAATCTCTTCTTTGAATTAACTAATTGCCATTTGTTGTTTGTTGACTCCGGCGGCATTAGCTGTAGGCAGGTTTCATTGACCGCCTATACATTATTGGTTGGGTGAATAGTCGCCGTACTATGCTGTTGAGGCGTTTGGTAAACCGGTTGATTCGTTGGTATCTGTTGTTGTGGGAGCACTGTATCATATAAAATATTTTTAAAATGTGCGCACTTTGTGCGTGAACAACTTTTAAATGAAACTATTTTTCGAAAGTTCAACACCATCGGAAACAATGGACTCTATCGCACTAAAAAAACCAGAGTTTTTTTCGATCACTAGTACAGGGGGGATCTTCGGAACTAGAGCCGTTAAGAAGAATCCAATGGACAAAGAATTGTAGTTTCGAATGCTCTACTTCCAGTAGAACATTCAAAACTACAATTTTCTATCCATTTGACCTTCTTCGTAACTGCTCTAGTTCCGAAGATCCCCCTTGTACTAGTGATCGAAAAAAACTTGCCCTGTGGGTACTTTTTTGATAGTACTAACCATTACGGAGATAACATACCCCTATACCCGTCAAAAAGTAGGTAGAAAATGAAATTCCACAACAAACCTTAGGTGATAGTCCCCAGAGGCCCGATCAAAGCCAAAGGGCTGCTGTTGAGTTGCATCCGCGATCCCGATCCCTGCCTCATCTTCGAGCCCAAAGTCCTCTACCGGGCTGCAGTGGAAGAGGTGCCGCTCAATGACTATCAGCTGCCGCTCGGCAAAGCCGATGTCCTGGTTAAGGGTAAAAACGAGTTTCCAATAACCAGCTCAATAGCTGAGGCTAATTTGAGCATTCCTAGGGTCCGACTTGACGCTGATTGGCTGGGGGACGCAAGTGCACGTGCTTAAAGAAGTGGCCGCTTTGCTAAAGCGCGACTATCAAGTGTCGGCTGAAGTGATCGACTTGGTTTCCATCCTGCCCTGGGACGTTGAAACTGTATGCCAGGTAAGTCGCGATTGCAAATCCTGCGATAAACTAAACGAGTTTAGTGCAGTCTGCCGGAAAAACAGGACGAGTCCTGGTCGCGCACGAAGCCCCGTTGACTGCAGGATTTGGAGCGGAAATTGCAGCAACCATACAGGTGAACACTGAAATTAGGCCTGGGTAACACTGTGTTGAGTTGCGCTATTGAGTTGTTGCCGCTCTCTGGGTTAACGAGTCATAACTCATCGGTTCATGAGTTATAAGTGATTTATTAAAGCTTTACGAGACTGGAATTTTCACATCTAAAAAAGGGTCATTAGTATTTTTTTTGAGTAACATTTTACTACTTTGCTCAAACAACTAAAAGAGTCATCTAGATTTTCCCTGCAATAGAACTGAGTCCAAAAAAAGTCGACGAGTTTTCTTGTAAAATCGACCTCTCAATTTTTTTGCAAAAAAGATTCAGTTTGCCAGTATTTTACAGTAAAACGTTAGGAAAACGCGGTTTTGCTGTTTAGCGACAGTGTTGTTTAGAAATAATGACCTAAAAGTGATAAAACCCCAGTTTCCAAGAGTTTTCTAAATAAATAAATATGTACAAAATAGGTCGATTTTGAGTAGAAAGTAAAGCAAAAGAAATTCAGTCAAAACTAAAAAACACTTTTTTTTTAACAAACTACAGTCTTCAGAGGTATGGAGATGACGAGATTTCCAAATAATATGTTATAAACTTTCGCTTGTTCTGTTCGTTTTTTTATGAAAATTATTTGGTTTTTGCTCCAAATTCGAGGCTGGAAAAGGATTTCGAAACTTTTTACAAAGCGACGAAGGATTCAAATTTACTTCATAATTTTTCGCGGAAAATACCTTAAGATTGTCAGCGATTTGAAGTAAAACTTTGGAAAATTGATCATTTACAAGAAAGAGTAACTTGGCTAAAACTGAAAAATTCTGAAATGTTGAAAACATTTTAAAAATGTTATTAATAAATGGCCCTTGAAATAATTCTAAAGACAAGTAAAAACCGTAATCAACATTTTCCCAGCAACGGAACTGAGTTACTGCGTCGGTGCCTTGGGTGCCAGCGCACCAAATCATTTGCGTAACACTGCGCCAAGTCCTAAAAATTAACTGAGTTACCCAGGCCAAACTGAAATGCACTGAAACTAGCTGGGAACTAAAACGGTTTCAATGTACATTAGGAAAATTGCTTCCTCAGCCTGCTAGCGCCGGTTTGTCGAGTAACGGGGGCAGACACCCCATTCCCCCACGTGTTTGAGCCGCTGTACCTGCCAACGAAATGGCGGTGCCTCGACGCCGCCCTGCAACTGATCAACTATTAAACCGCGAACTCCATAACGAGGCAACATGTTTAATGCATGTAACTTACTATAATGTACACATTTTTTATTTAAAATATATACTCATATGCGCTCTATTCTAAGTTAATAAAAATACATAAATTCCATCTGGGGGTTCGCCGAACACACCCGCAAGTCTCCGTTCTCCTTAAGAGTGTGCACGTTTCAAAATTCTAGATTGCTGCGCAAAATTAACCGAAAATCTAGCTAGGAACTGCACTCCGACACAACACAAATCAAGTAGCTAAACACACTGTCTTTTTGATCATCTAGAAAGCTAAAATTCCAAAACGAACACTCACCCCTACTGCGAATGGGGTCAATCGGAATAATCCATGGTTTTAATGTACTCAACAGCTGAACAGAACTGCGTCCACCAGTACTCATCTTCGCCGCGAATCTGCCCGGCGTTGAAACTGTTGACGAACTGAACCGTTGATAGAAGAGCTACTGGATTCACCTGGAAAACCATTGGTTAATTCGTATTACTGCCTTCATACTCATGCCACTACCTTAATTATCACATAAACCAGGACTGGGGTAAAATCATCGGCGGCTGCACAAGATCCAGACAGTCCGAGGAGATCTACCAAGCACTTGGCGCAGCGCGACACGCAACGCAACTTGTCGCGAGGAGTTCGGGCTGCGTCCAAGGCGCGGAGCGCCTCCTGCGCCGGCAGCCAGGGGCTTTCGCGCAAAAAGGCCGAAGGAATCAGCAGATCTTTGTGTTCGGGCCGCAGGCTTTTGGACAGTGTCCCAATGTGTTCGTGTAAAACCCTGAAAAAATCCCCCTTGTACTCTAATAGCAGTTTTCGATACAAGGGCGAAAAGTGTCATTTTTCGAACGACGGCGGCCCACCACGGGCCCGAAAAACAAAATTAGTGTCAAAATAAAATAGCGCCTCTTAGAAATGACTTAAGGGAATGATTTTGAATTCGCCATATCACAAGTTCAAACGCCTCCTGGGGGCTTAAATTATAACTACACGTTAACTAGTCATTTGACACTTGTTTTGTTGACATTGGTGTTTGTGATTTGTTTTGTTTGGTTCTAATCAACTTTTGCGAGACTCTAAAGAAATAGAAACATATCGAAAAGTGCGTAAGTATTATTCCTATAACATATAGATATCATCAACTCCAATAAATAAACAAGTCTGACAAGTCTTAACTGTCACTCAACAACGAGAAATTTGACGTTTCACAGCACATAAAAAGCATCGACTTCAAATTTGATGTCAATGTCATTTTTCAAATATCTCGTTTTGACGTTTGTCATTTTTGAAAAGCGTAATTTTTACGCATAAAAAAGTGAAACAGTGAGTGAAAATTCAGCGTCCTGTACACCAGCAGAAGTTAGAGTGGGAAGTTAATGTTGGCTTCAACTTCCTCAACCTTGAAACAGCTACTTTCACTGCATGGTGTTTGTATAACTTGCATATTTTGTTTGTGTTTTGCGTGTGGTAATATCGGCGAACGCAGAAAAAGAGGTCATTAAAACGACTTTGAGACTGAACTTCTAACAAAGTTATAATTTACAAATTGTCGATAAACCTACGTAATTGATTAAAAAAAACTTGTCGGCTACTTTTAAACACGTTGAATTTGTCACATTCATTCGGTTAACAATAAGGTTTTTCAAGCGTAATCCCACCTGTCTCTATCCCGGTCCCCATCCCCATTCGGGTAGATGGCGTTGAAGTAGACGCGACTCATTATGCACCTTTCCAGAGTGACTTTGACCAGAAAGTCCCTCTTATGCAGCACATCTGAAAAAACCTGGTTTAAAGAGCGCCGGAAGTTTCAAGCGAAATATGTACCTTGCCAGTGCTTGTTCTCGTTCATGATCTCAAATAGCCGCAGATAGAAATTCTGCAAAAAGTCGCACTTTTCATCGGCAAGACTCAGACGGCGAAACTCATCGCAAAAGGCCATCACCAGCGGCTCCTGTTCGCTCAGGAACTCGCGAACGCACACCGATGCAAAGTAGAACTCGCATTGGATGCGATCGTGTTTGATTTGATCTTGCAGACTAGAATTTCATTCGCATTCAAAGAATCGTACATTTGAGTACTGAACAATACGTACGTATTGAGGTACATTTCCGTGAAAAGCAGCTCCTGTTTGCTGCTGACCAGATAGCGCAGGTACGTAGCGCGCAGCCTCAAATCGGCGCGTAGCGACTGGATGAGCTTGAGACAGTGGCGTTCGTCGAGCAGCTGCACGCAGCGCAACGCCTCAGCTATGCGAGCGGCTGAGCTCCATTCGCGTAGCTTCCGAGCTTTGCCCATTTCCAGCCTCAGAATCGTTTCGAGCTTGATCTTCATGCTGCAGGGATTCTGCTGCAATGCCACTAGTTCAAACAACAAAAAATTCCGGCAGGACTACAATCAAACCTTGATAAAATACGGAATTTCCGAAGTGTTCCCCAGCACCAAGCGCAGCTTTTTCTTCACATCGGTGAACGAGTTCGCTTCCTGGTTGAGATTGTCGCTTTTAAGCACTTTGCTCGATTTTTTCGAGTGGCCGTTCTCCTTCACCGGGCTGCTTTCCGCTGAAGGTTTGCGGTACTTGGCCAGAATATCATCTGAGCTATCTGCAAGTAAATGATTTCGTATAAATAGAGAAGAAAGACCCAATTTCATTCACTGTAAGTCGTGCTAAATTTTGGCAATTGGAGATTTTTAAAGGAAATTGGAGCAAAAACTTCAAAATAATTCAGTGTTCAAAGGCAGCGGCGTAAAATACTTAAATGAGGCTGTAAACGCATAATAAAAAGGCTGACAACCAGCCTCAACTCAAACAAATAATTAAGGTATTTAAAGTATTTGGTTTTATAACTTGAAGCAAACGCACTTTAAGCAGTTTAGCCAATAAAAAAGCAAGCATTGCAGAATATATTTTTTAGGAAGTCAGCTCATTTTTTCATTATCGAACGCAAAACAGTTCAAAAGAATCTAGTGGCATATTTAAAATGGACGATAATGGAGGAAGGAGAAGAAATCAACCTCAATCAACAAGAAGTACAATTAAGGGGCTTTCTAACGCCAATTTAGCATTTTCTGGATTTTAAGCCACAAAAATGATCTGCATCGTTTACGCGTAGAGAGGAAATAAAGGGGCTAAGCAGAGAAGATTTTTAAACAAAATTTGAGCCAAAAGCGGGAAAATAGTTCGGTGTATAACAATGTTGAGTCCTTTGATTGCAACTAGCGGTTGAGAAAAACTAACTTGAATTTAGTAAATTAAAATGTTCCTACTCTGCCTACGTTGAGAGTGTGGTGAACTGAGTAGCCCTATGACCGACGTAGCCGGTCCCAAACCCGGATCAAAGAGGAGGGTTGGTGGAACGGGTTAACAACCTACCCACCATAAAAAAGAATGAATGCTCCTAGTACTGCTTGAAAAGCCTCGGAAAAAGAACGGATACCCCGGGAAGGCGACACGGCGAGAAAACGGAAACGAGATTAGAAAGCTAAAAATATAATACGTCTAGCCACTTAGAGCATAACGTCATGGAATAAGAAGGATCACGAGATACTGATGGCACTGGAGAAACACCGAGTTGATATACGCTCACTAGCAGAAACAAAAAATAAATGTAAAGGAAATGTCAACTATAATAACTACATATTGTTCTTCAGCGGAAAAGCAAAACATGAACGAGCACAATCTGGAGTAGGAGTATTGGTACATAAGAAACTTGAGAACTCAGTCGAAGATGTACATTATATCGACGATACACTGCTAAAGATAACTTTTAGTCTTGAAAAAGACAAACTACATATTGTTAGCGCGTATGCACCCGATATCAATAAGAGAAGAGAGATAAGAGAAAACTTTTTCGAAAAACTCCAAGACACTGTGAACAAAATACCCAGCAAAGAAAAGATATTCCTCTTGGGAGATTTCAACTCTAGAATCGAATGTACCCATTCAAAGAGTAGTGCAGAGATTCAATGAAAACGTAATAAATAACAATGGTGAAATGCTATTAACAACATGCGCATCACTAGAATTGCGTAGCAATAATACGTATTTTAATCACAAAAATCTTTATCGATTTTATAATCACAAACCGCAACATACATCCTACAGAGATCCTGGACGTAAGAGTATTGACTTCTGCAAATGCCACAACAGAACATGGATTAACATTATGTGAATACCGCCAAAAATAAAGCATACAAAAAAAAACAAACCAGACGAATACATATCAAAATATAACATCGAAGCCTTTAAAAATCAAAGAACAACAACTTTATAGCAGAAGAGACTGAGACAAAAAATCTCTAACAACCACATCGATGAACAGGATAAAGTGAACCAAGCCTGGGAAAAAATTGAATCTGACATAAAATTAAGTGCAGTAGAGGCGATAGGAGTGAGGAACGTTAACATCAATGGAAGAAGAAACAGTAAACCGTGGTTTACAGAAGAAGCTAAACAGCTGGCAAACGAGAAACAAAAAGCCTACATTAGATACAGAAATACGAAATCCCCAGAAAAGCACGAGTAATACAGAATAGTAAGAAATAAAGTTAATCAAGAAATCAAAGAACTGAAGGAAAAATACTGGGAAAACTTCTCAACGGATATGTAGCATGACTTATATAGAGGGCAAAAGAAGGTGTGGAAAATGTTGAGAAACAGGAAAAAACCAGTAAATGAGGAGATACAAGTAAACAATATCAACCCAGAAGAATGGGTCACATACTTTCAAGAAACATACAACAACCAGTCGCAAACCGAGATAGTCCCAGAATATAACCGACACGACACGAGTCAACCCATAAATACATCCCAAATAGAAGTAACGATAGAGGAAGTAACGAAAATCATAGGCGAACTGAAAAACGGGAAAACCCCAGGTGTAGATAGCATCAGTAGTGAAATTATAAAATACGGAGGGGAGAATGCTACTAAAGAATTAACAAAACTTTTTAATAAAATAATTCAAGAAGAAACGATCCCAGAAGAATGGCGTACCAGCATAACAATCCCAATATTTAAAAAGGGCGACAAAAAACAACCAAAGAACTACAGGGGAATAAACTTACTGCGCTCAAAATATTCACAACAAAATTGGCCCAAAGAATCGAACAAAAATTAGGAATATGCGAAGAACAGCAGGGTTTCCGCCAAAACAGATCCACCATAGACGCAATATTTATATTGAGACAATTAGCAGACAAAGGGATTGAACACGACAAGCCAGTATTTATGTGCATGGTTGACCTAAAACAAGCATTTGATAAAGTAAGGCTAACCGACATCGAAAATATGCTACACCTCCATGGCTTAGATAACAGATATATCCGCATAATAAGAGATCTGAAAAGGAACGGCAAAACGCAAACCAAAGTTAACCAGAAACCAACACAAGAAGTACATTTAAAAACAGGAATACGGCAGGATGACAGTTTAAGCCCCACAATTTTCAATATAATAAGGAACGAGATTATCAAGGATGTTAAACGAGAGGAGTAGGATACCGAATTGCCCACAAATCTTTAAAGCTATTGTGTTATGCAGATGATGCCGCATTAACATCAGAAAGTGAAGATAACCAAGAGGTGGTATGAAAGTTGGACATCAGGAAGAAGAAGAAAATGTGCTTAGTTTTTCAAGTTCAAATTCAACTTTTATATTCACTTCACGTTTTGAGTATTGCTAGAAAATAGAAGCTGTTTTTAATACCTCAAAGTCTACAATCCGACTACAACTCCCGTGGTGGATTTTTTATGCTTTTTCAACATTGGTTTTTACCTGAGGCACTGTTGTTCAGCCTAATTGGGGAATCTCCAATGGCCTGTTTCACCAAGAAATCCTCATCCCCATTCCGCAGGTCTTCCTGGTTCCTAAACGAGCGCTTCTTGTAGCCGAACCCTTTTCTCAGCCGCCCGAAAAAACCGCCTCGCTTTGATCTGCTAAAATTGCCAAAATTATTAACTTTTTTCAAGTTTTGGAAACTGCCCACCTCGAATCATCATCCAGCCCCTTGTTGACGCTCATATCGAAGCTGATGCTCTTCGGAATGGCGCCAGTGGAAGCGGAAGGTTTCAAGCTGCGGTTCAGCACCATGGTGGTTTTCCGAACCGCTGGATTAACCACGCTGGCAGTCAAGTGGCTGTTTACGCTTAAAACCGACAGCTCGCTGGTGCTTTCCGAAGGAGTCAAAGTGACGTTCAAGCTACTTCCGGAGCTGGTCAACCAGGGCTTCGGCTCCCACTGCTCGGAATTGTCGTTGGTTGAGGAAACCTTGTTGTTCTCAAAGCTGTTGCTTGAACTGCCGCTTGAGCTGAAATCATATCGTTTTAGGTCTGCGAACTTCCACTCTACTTTTTATGTCACATTGTTCCAGAACGTTTAAAAATTGTTCAAAAAAAGGTAAAAAAAGCGCCACTAAATTTATCAATAGTGCACACCTTTTCAAATCTTCAGTGCTGTGAAGCTGCAAACGGAGTTTGTAAAAGGTTTCATTTTACCGATTTTTGATGAGCCCCAAAAAAATTCTCAATTCAGCGCTTCAGTCGAGTTCTGTGGATAAATGACTAAAAGGCGGTCTGCTGCTGTTTTGATTGGTTTTTCTTGCGATCAAAAACTGAGTTTTGCTGTTCAAAAGAGAGACTGTCCCACCGTTTTTAAGAAGCTTAACCCTTTGAAAATTAGTTTTGGGAATATATTCTTGGTTTTTCTCGTTATTTTTAAATTTTTCTTTGTACTAAGCCTGCCAGTTCTATAAGTAAAAATTTCCGGAAATTTACCGCAAAATACGCCTAAAAACCGCGGTTATCAGGCTGGATTCTTGCTTATTTCCTCCAGTTCATTCATTCATTGCATGCATTTTCAATTTGCTAAAATCTTCATGCCGTGAAGGAAAAGAAACCGACAACAAATTGCTCTTTTTCAACGCCCAGTTTACCGACTTTAGATTTTAAAGGTGAAACTCCAGTGGCTTGAAACTGCGAATTTTAAAGGAAAAGCGTATTTTTTAAGTCATAAAGTCCAATAGTCTCTTTGGTGAAAAGTCTAGCTGATGTTAAGTAAATCAAGTTCTAACTTGATTGGAAAAGCTCAAAATGAACCCCAAAAAGAATTCTCAATTTAGCGCTTCAGTCGAGTTCTGTGGATTGATGACTAAAGTGCGATTTGTGGCTGTTTTGATTTATTTTCCTTGCAATCAAAAACTGAGTTTTGCTGTTCAAAAGTGAGACTGTCGCACTGTTTTTAAGAAGCTTCACCCTTTGAAAATTAGTTTTTGGAAATATTTTCTTGGCTTTTCTCGTTATTTTTAAATTTTGCTTCTTACTAAGCCTAGCAGCTCTATTAGCAAAAATTTCCGGGAATTTACCGCAATTTTTTATTTTTATTTTTTATTTAATATTATTTACTAAAACTAGTCAAGCATGACCAACCATCAGTTTTTCTCTGTAATCTTAAAATTAGGGTAGTTAACTAAGTCAGTCCATTGACTTTCCAAGTTTTAGCCTCACAGAAGATTGACAATATTTACACGCACACCATGCTCTGCGCTTAAAACGCTATATCAATTCAAAGGGCTTCGTTCTCTTCAATCTGCGGTATAAATTCTGATCATCTAGCAGCTGGCGGGCTTCTGCATTCGGATGTAGTTGTAGTCTAGCTTGGTGTTTCTTTGCATACCGTTTGATTGCCTGTTCAACAGTCAGGATTCCAAGGTCTCTGTGAATATCATTGTTTCTGACGAACCATGGGGCATTGGCTATTTCACGTAATGCCTTATTTTGGACCGTTTGAATCTTTTTTATGTGTGTGCTTTTTGTGCATCCCCATAGCTGAATACCGTAAAGCCATGTAGGTTTAATAATTTGTTTATACATTAAAAGTTTGTTATACAAAGTCATCTTGGAATGCCTGCCAATCAGCCATCTACATATATTGCGCAATTTTAATTTTCAACTATTTTACTTTCTTTCTGACATGTTCGTTCCATCTTAATTTAGTGTCCAAAGTCATACCAAAGTATTTCGCCGTATTTGCATATGGGACAGCGGATCCATTAATATTTATTACTGCGGGATCTGTTAAATTTTGGTTGGTAAAGTTAACATAGGTCGATTTAGTTTCGTTAAGTTTGATTTTCCACTTCTGTAGTTTCTGTGAGGTACAGCCTTGAGTGAGTGAGATTTGTGTCAGTTGACATTAATCCCATCTCATCCGCATATGTTGCTATTATTGTAACTTTCACGTATGGTTGGGGTAAAATTTTACCTAGTTCGTAGACTAGCCCGTCATGCCATACTTTGTCGAACGCCTGCGATACGTCGAGGAATAGTACTGCACAGACCATCTTTTCTTCTAGTGACTTCTCTATTACATCAGTTATTCGGTCCACTTGATCAATTATAGAGTGGTTTGATCGGAATCCACATTGATGATCGGGGATTAACTTTTGTTTCTCTAATATTTGTTTATGTCTTTTCAGCAACAGTTTTTCAAAAAGCTTTGATATTATTGGCAAGAGGGAAATTGGTCTGTCGACTTAACATCGTGTTGAGGTTTACCAGGCTTGGGGACCATGATGACTTCAGCTATTTTCCACATTGCCGGTACATGTTTAATCCTGATTGAGGCGTTAAATAGATGTGTTAACATCAGTATCACCTTTTTTGGCAGTTGTTTCAGGATTTGTCCTGTAATTAAATCAAACCCAGGAGCCTTTTTGGGCTGAGATTATTATTAATTTCTTCTGCTACATCTTTCGAAGTAACAGGAGCAATCATGTGGATCGAATTGGAGGACGAAATATTGTCTGCAATCGGTCGGTTATTGTGTTGGTTGTATTGTATGTGGTTTGGTACAAATACGCCTGCCAGATATTCAGCAAATAGATCCGCTTTTTGTTGATCATCACGAGCCCAATCGCTTAGTCCCTTTCTAATAGGCGGTATTGACACAACTGCTTTTCTAACTTTCTTTGTAACCTTCCACAAGGAATATTCAACTTCGTTACCTACTGATAAATTTGTAATAAAGGAATTTCTGAGAATTCTGTTTTAATTTGTAAATTTCACGTTCTAGCTTTTGAATTTGTCTATTTAATGATGTCTTATCGCTAGGATGACGTGTTTGTTGCCATCGTCTTCTATGTCGTGTTGTTCGGCTGTTTTCAATCTTACGTTCAACGTGATTTCCTCTTGTAGGTCAGCTTGTTGAGTGTTGGCTTGGCTTCCCTTTTAATGATTTTCTCACTCATAGTCATGACTGCTGCTGAATGGTCGGATTCAAGGTCAAAGCAGTCATTAATTTCGATGTAATTCGATGATACTTTTCTGGAGATAAAAAAGTCCAATAAATCCGAGATTTTTGGTCCTATCCGCCGGCCAATAACTTGGCTTTCCCGTGGAATGAAAGTTACCGCTCATATTTCTAATAGCTTCACTTAACGCTTTTCCTTTTGTATTTGTTATTCTTGCGCCCCAATCTACGTGCTTGGCATTAAAGCCTCCTCTTAGTATGAATCTTTCACCCATGTATCTTAATATAAACGAATAATCGTCTATTTTAAGATTATATCTCGGTGGTATATAAATGGCCCCAACTTTAAAATTTTGTTATGTAGTTTTTATTACTACTGTAGTTAGTTGTGTACTCACCTGTTGGATTGGAAGTTCTTCATGATAATTAATAGACTCTTTGATGAAAATGGCACTTCGTCCCTTGGCGCTTGGTTGTCGGGATGGATGGAATGATCGCATTTATAACCGTGTATTTTAACAAATGATTGATTGGTGAGATCTGTTTCTGAGACTAAGCAGACATCAATGTGTTGACTATGTAGCAATACTTCTAGTTCAGCTTTTTTACTATTTAATTATACCATTAGCGTTCTAGGTAACAATTCTTAATTCTTTGGTATTCATTATTTATTTGTTTTTGGAATAGCTCCCGTTGCTTTTGCCTCCAAAATGTTGAGTCTCTCATTGATACTATCCAGCGTATCCATCATTGGCGATGCATCATGTCTTGCACAGAGTTTCTTTCAATTAGCTGTTTTCGATCTTGTTAAGCGGGTTGCGCATTTTTGTTTTTCCTAGCAGTTTCAGCATAGAAAAGGGAATTAATTATGTTCGTCTTCTCTATGCTTAGGGGGCCAGCATTTATTGCTGCATTTTTCAGCGATCGCCTTTTATCGTGATCTCTCCTCCGTTGTAATGCTTTGGCAACAGTACATGCTCGGTAGTTAGCTGGGTGCGCTTCACCGCAGTTGGAGCACTTAGCTGGAGGAATTTTGAGTTTAGTACATGACGCAGTAGGATGATTCCCAGCACACTTGACACACACTGGTACTCTATTGCAATATTTTTGCGTGTACAAATCTTTGGCACTGGGCTGTTTTGAGTGATTCCACAATAATTTTCGAGTTCGCTAGATATTGTACTTCAAATACTTTTTTGACGTCTTCAGTATTTTCAAAAGTTGCTATAAATAATGGCAACTTGATATATTCTGTCTTCTGGTTCCTCGAGATTCTCTTTAGTTTGTTTATAACACTGATTGCTTTACAGCCTTTTTCTTTCAACTCCTGTAATAGCTCTTCAGTGGTACACGAGGGGTGAAAATTTTTAAGCATTACTCAGAACGGTCTTCGTTGTTTATTTTCATAAGAATGTCATTCTTGCTTTTCTTCATTTAGTATTTATTGTTGTTTATTGTCAAATCTCTATATTCTTCTGGGGTTTCTACATTGAACTTCATCTGGTTATTATTCAGTAATGCGGCATTGAATTTTAATTCTTTACTGTTCAGTTTTTTATTTTGTTGTAGTCTACAATATTACTAACAACCACCGGAGGCGGCCTTCGAATTTTCGCCTGTATATTTTGTAGAGTCAGAAATGCGATTCCAAGTATTGCAACATTGCAAGCGTATTTTCAAATCTTCGTTACTTCAAAAGTAGCTGGACTCATACCTACAACTCTCTGTTAATTTCCTTGAAAATAAAATTCTGCCCGATTTTTGACGAATTCTTAAAAGGAAAGTGAAATATGCACTTCTAACTCTTGATCTATCGCAATGCTATTTTCAACGGTTAATTCCTTCAAAATTAGCAGGATTACAACACAGTTTCTACCGCTCTTCTATTCTACATATTTTCTCTTGGAGACGACTCTTTATAGTGCGCTGAACGAAAAGAGCAGGCACACTTTCAATAAACGAGAATCCCATCACCACTGCAAAGTGAGGAACCCCGGATTACCTTGAGTTGAGGCTGCAATTGCTCAGAAGAATTTCTGTGGGGCGATCGCCGTATTTCTTCATGATGGAGTTTTTGATCGACGGCTCGCCCTCAAAGTCCTTGCCGTTGAAGCCGCTCGGGCCGGGCATCTGATTGTTGTCGGCGGATTTCTGATTTCCCTACATTAAACAGACAAAATAACACAAAACGCCCACGGAAAAACTCCAACGAAAAATACCTGTTTATTGGCGGCCCCGCCTACGGAATTTGTCGTGACGCTGCTGAACGAAACCGTGGTTTGAGTGCTCTGCGCTACTCCGTGCTGGGCAATCGGCTTGAAGACATTGTTGGCATTGCGGTCGACTTCCGTGTTGATTTTCCCGTTCAAGCGGCCGTCGCGTTTCTTGAACTCCTGGAAAGATGCACTGCTCACGTAGTTCTGGTTAATGGTTACAAAGTTGGAGTCGCGCAGCGACTTCACGTTTATTCCGGTCGCACTTGATTGCGATACCAACACGTTGTTGCCTGCCGGCACATAGCTGGGGCTGTTTACGCTGCAACAAACGCTAGGTTTACAAGCAAAAAAGTTGAAATTGTCCAAAAACCTACCTAACAGTAACGAAGTTCGTGCAAGCGGTTGAGGTGTTCATGAGTATCCCCCCATAAGAGCCGGAGCAGGAGCTCAGGCGGCGCGCGCTTGCGACTTCGTCTGTTTCTGAGCGAGTATCATCTGAGCGGGCCACACTGTTGGTATCGTCCGACTGAGCCACACTAGCCGTGTCATCATTATCCACATCAATGAGCCGCTCGGTATCAGAAGCCATCACATCAGTGGACCAGGCGCTTTCGCTTTGCGTCTCCGATATGTCCACCTCTTGAATCGCCTGATCCACTAAGTGCAAGTGCTGCTGGCGCTCCAGCCTGGACTCACTTTCCCCAATGGTTTCGTTGTCCGAAGCCAGTACGTCCGTGCTCCAGGTCTCGGAAATAATCGAAACAGTCTCATCACCTTCGAGCAGCCGTTTGATTTCGAACTTGCAGAATTTGTCGTCGATTTCCGAGCGGCGTTGCCGCGATATGTTGGGCGGCTGTTGCTGCTGCTGCTGGGGCTGCGCCCCTGCATCCACATGGTCTTCCGCGCGCTGATTGTCTGTGTGTGGACGGTCGTCGTTTTCGTTTACCTGCCAAGCACAAACAGTCGTTTTTCAGATTTTTGAAGTAAACACTTCTTGAGACGCGCTTAGCACTTTTTTGTGGTTGTTGAATGAGACTGTCCAGTTACGTTCTCGGTAAGGTGCAAGCGTTGACTAAGACATTTTATTTCCAATATAAAAGGCATATCAAAATTTTCATTAAATTCTCAAAGTCTACGTGCACACGCTTTGGACCGCGATGACACTGTTCACAACGACAACGTTGAACTGTATTGATTTTATCAGAAACTTGGATAAGCACCGAAGAATCCGTCAAGAAATTTGATATAGATAATTAACTTTGTGCCTTGCGCCGCTTGCTAAAGTTTTCACTTCTATCAGACAAGAGAAGATTTTTTCAGTCGGTCAACCACAACTCACCTGGCTGCTCGGTGTGTCTCTTCCGCTGATATTGGGAGTGCCTCGCCCGGAAACATTGGCAGACACCATGTCGGACAGATTGTCGTTCTGATCCTCATTCTCTAGCTCCAGGCTGCTGGCCACCGAATGATTACTGGCTGCCTCCGAAATAGCCTCCAGATTATCGGAGGTGTTGCCTAGACAATCCACAGTTGCAGCAAATCCAAAAACAATCCCCAAAAACCCACCTATGGACCCTTCATCGGCATATCCAGAGTAACCGTCCTTCAGGTCGTTGCTATTAGACGTTCCGTTGGTATCCAAGATGTTTTCCTTGCCGAGTTCCATATCGGAAACGGCCACAAAAACGCCGCTATCGCTCTTCAACGGCACGCTCAGATCGATCACTTTGTCTTCCGGCAAAAGCCCCACTGGCTCAGTGCTTACTCCATCGATCGGGAAAACGATTACAAAGTTTTTTGCCGATTTCTCCTCACTGTCTGGGGAGCGCCGATTGGTTGATTGACCAGCTTTTTGCGTGCCTGCAAATACATTTATTATGGTGTGATATAATGTTTACATAGGGACTGCTATAAATTACTGCTTAATGTAGTTATTCTTGTAGGACCGCAAAATTTTGCCAGATTTTATTATCGGATTTGATATTTTCGGCCTCGTTCTATTAGTTTTTTTACAGCCTTGTTTCTTAACATCCCTTAGTTCATTCGCCTAGGTTACTTTGAATTTGTGGCCAGGCAGCTGATTACGGGACTTAATCAAATAAAAACAAATAAGTATTTCAAGTCTACTTCTATTAATTTTGCGACTAAACTGCCTGTTTTTCGTCAGTTTTTCTATTTCTTGTTCCTCTACTTGCTTCAGGGCATTTTTCTCATTTGTTATTTCCCGCAACAAATCTGCCTTTTAAGGTAAGAAAAAATAACAACCTTGAAGTCCAGCACAGAAACTTTAATGTTCACAGGCTTGGAAACATTCGAATGTAGTAGTAGTGCGATTTGAGCGCAATTTGAGAAGTGTGACCTGCAAGTTGCTAGCTGCTTTGGGCTGCGAATTGCATTTTCCAAAGAAAGCGCACAATTTAGGGAAGTGCTGATTCTTAACAAGGCTTTACATCAGATTTATTCCCATTTAAATTAGTGTTTCATATCAAGTTGATGCCGAACCCGCACTGAAAATTGCACATTTTTAAGTGAGAGCTTGAGAGCTTTAAGTGGATGTTGGGCCCATAACTAGCAAGGTTCTCAAAAATAGAAATACTTACTTTCAATTACAAATGTTTTAAGGGCGTATTCTTGAGCGGAGTTTATGAGAAAAATATTTGATAAAATTGATATGAACATGGGGTCAAAAGTGCTTCCTTAAAGTACTCTTTGCTTAAACTTTAATAAACTGTAAACCATATTTTATATATAAAGAAGAGCTGAATCATAAGCATTTTGAACCCCACGTTCATATTAACATTTTCTCATAAAATCGGCTCAGAATTATGCATTTAGAATTTTTGCACCCCGTATATAAAGTTTAAGGTGACGTAAAAACATTTATAGAGGGGGTTTCTGAGGAGTTCTATGCATATTTGACTCAAAGGATGCAATGCAAAAAAGCTCCAGGCCAGAAAAAAACTTTTTTGAAATTATCTTGCGATAATAATTCGCATTTTTATGCTTTTGATAAATCAAAAAATTATTTGTCGCTTGGAAAAATATCCTTTCTTCCATTTTAATTAGTGTTTCATATTATTGGCCCTCAACTGTGTTTAATAGTATCAATAGTATAAAGTATTGAATTTCAACTTGATACCGAATCCGTATTGAAAATTGCAAATTTTTAAGTGAGAGCGTTCTCCCAACTGATCATGTTCTGGTGCTCAAAAGTAGAAATACTTGAAATTTCAGTGAATGTTTCACCTTTTTTCTTCTATATGGTGTGCGAATTTAAAATTGCTGCTTGCGCTCAATTGAAAATTGCACGTTTTTAATGAATGAAAAAAGACGTACCAGCAGATTGAAATAACTTGCAACAGTCTGATTCGCTTGCATCGACTTACCTAAAGATCCTAAGGAGAAAAACGGCGGTTTCTTCGCCGGGCTGAACTCGCTCAAATCGCCGTTTGGTCGCGATGTTTGAGGCGAGTTTTCCCTGGAAATGGCAAGCGAAGACAGGTGCTCTTCAATGGAAACGCTCAGAGAAGGGTTTTTTTCAAAGTTGTCGTTCTGCACTCTGATCATTTGGACTTTTTGCAAAAAATACACCTGAAAACAGTTGAAATCAAGCCGCAATCAACTACACAACAAAAATAGGTTACCAAGTTGTTCAACTCCTCTTCAGTGAACAGCATGATGTCGCGCACAACCTCAGGGCTGGTGTCCACTGGCGGATCGCTCGAATCCATGTCGAAAAAGAGCAATTCCACAAAGTTGCTCATGCTGTTTTTGTCGACATTTTCGAAGATATCCAGGTACTTCTTGTCGATGCCCTCGAACTTGTACAGCGCCAGAATCTGCATGATTTTCCCCACCTGGATCAGATTGTGCCGCACCATTTCGCTGGTGACTGCATTGGCGATTCCGTACTGTTCCGGATCGACAATCACCGGGCAAATGAAGAGGGTGAACAGCAATTCGGTGATTATTGAGTTGGCCTATCAATATTTAGTTTTTTTTTTATTAACCAAACCAAGCTTGTGGCAGTTCCAGTTACCTCTTTAGCACAATAATTATTCTCAATCATCTTGTAGATATGGAATGCTATCCAGGCCAAAGCCCTGGGAAAGCTGCAAACATTTTCCAGGAGCGACTGGACGAAGCTGTTAGTAAACTGCGCCAGTTTAGACGCAACATCGTTGCGATACTCGACAGCGTCTTTGTAAACTTTCAGATTCTCATCCTGTCTGAATCTGCAAAACACACAGTTGTCACGGGGCAGTTTATTGGTAGTAGGGCTGCGCTTGCCTCATTATAGTCTTATCATGGTCGATGTCCAGGAAATAATCCGAAAAGGACAACAGCTCCAAAATGGGCATCTCCAGGGCAGCGCTGAGGAAGAACTTGGCCGGCTGGTAGATTTCATGGAACAGGAAGTACAGATGCCTGAAGGAACAGGATCTTTGCTTGATTATCCTGCAAAAGAAATCAAATTATTCCCATTCCAAGGGTGTGCAATGAACACTACCTTCGCGGGTTGTCGCTCTTCAGAAGCTGCTTTTTTGCCAGCTCAAACAGCAAAGTTAGTAACAGTTTGGTGTCGTCGGCAAACACACACCCGCCATAGAGGCCATTGAGCAAGCTTTGCAGAAGCAACGGGTGTTGGACAGCGTCATCCTTAACAGCTTCGCCTGTAATGAGCCAGTTTGCCAGCTGCTTGGGCTGGGAGCGCAGGATGTGAAGCAGATTGGAAATTTTCACGGAGTTCTACAACAAAACCTCAGCAATTTTTAGGGCATTGAGCGCCAGAAAAAAAACCAAACCTGGAACCCCAAAGTATTCTTCGCCTCAACAAACTCGGAGTTGCGAACAAAGTCAAAACGCCGACAGTTCTGGCTGGAGACTCGTCGCTCAAACAGCAACAACTTCTGCTTGTTGGTCAGCCAAGACGCCTTGATGACTGTTTGGGTTTTGGCTCGGATCAGCTCGTTCAGCTCTTGAATGTCGAGTTTTTCGCTTTTAATGAAGAGCTTTTCTTGGCGCAGCTTGCAGATGAACGTGTAGATATCCGAGTCGTCGTCCAGCGTCTCGTTCTTCATTTTGCTAACTGGAAATCAAGTTGCAATTAACTACAGTATAACCTCTGTAATCCCAACTAATTATTGCAAGAGAAAATTCGGATTTTCGTTATTTGTACAGTACATAATTTTAATTAAAGGGCCTTTGAAATGTCGTATGTCGAAAGTATCTTGGTCGATCCTGTGAGAAACGAAGAGCTGATCTGGCGGAACGAGAACTTTTCGAAAATGGTAACAAAAGGAAAACACTTCGGACTTATACTGCGTGGAAAACGCTACAATATTCAGCGCCTCATTCTTCAGGCGAAGATTGAGGGAATAAAGAATATAAGCGAAAAAACTAGAAAAAAGTTTTCTTCCTTTGCTTCAATGTGCTGCAATTAATAGAATCATTTGATAAGGAAAAAGATGGACACTTACACAGGAATTTACATGGGACTCTAATAAGAAGATAGACTTGGTGCAACAACTGCATTTCCTGGACTTTGATTCGAAGCAGTTCTTTGAATGGCTCTCCGGCTCCGTCGTCACTGGATAATTTTTCGCCAGAGGTTGAAAGCCGGCAGCACCCGTTTTAAAATTTGTGATCGCGACTTTTATTAGAAAAAATTGGGCTTCCACTTGAAATTTTCCCTGACATTGGAGGACAAACATTTTGGAAGTGAGGAATCGGCCTCGACCTGCAATGTTCGAATAAACCAATTTGTTGTTCCGATTAGAGACGCAACTTCCGGGCGTCCGGATCAAAGGGGTTTGACTGTATACTTATATACCATCAGACTGGAAACCATAATTGTTTGAAGCTTCACGAATTGAAAGTTGAAATGCACTCTTTCCATCTGCCACCTAAAGACAATTCGGAATACTGAACTGGACTTACGAAAGGGCTGTTCTGGTGTTTTTTTGTCTCGAAACAGTACCCAGTTTGATCCACCTCCACAGGAAAACCAACGTTAAACATGTGAAAATGTCGCTGAATTCATCAGCAACCAGAGCAGACTGGTGTGGTGATTTCTCTTGCAGCCTATTAAACACATCCGTTCCCAATAGGTGAAGAGATTTTACAATTGCATAATTTTCGTACGTTACCTGGCTTATTTCGTCTCGACAAAGCGCATTTGCTTTCAATGGGGCTTGTTTTCCTCGAGATCAGCTCATCTAAACTGGTAGGAGGCAACGCGCTTAGTTTGACAACATTATATCCACCTACTTTTACTCAGTATGTTTTTATTTAACTTTTTTAATTGATAACAGTAAAAACAAATAACATTCACTGTCACCGATCAAATGCGAATGCTGGTGACGGTTTTGACAAGGGACAGTGACTCTGGTAGACTGAGCGGAACCAGGGGGTGTTGCCAAATAACATCGCTAAGGCCACAATGGCGGACGATTCTTAAATATTTAATTTCGTTTTTAACTAGCGACAGTTTAATGGAAAACCACCCCCATTTTCCTCTAGAGGGAAATTACAAGGATTTTTTTTTATTGCAAAGGACCCAAAACAGCATACAAATATTTATTAGACAAAAAATTAAGCTACAACAGGGTTGGTTGGGCCATACTGTTGGCATATTTTCTCAAAGTCCGTTTCCTTTTGCTTCAGGTCCCTGATAAATGGATGCTCTGGATGGGCGTCCCTCAATTGAGACAGATAGCGATTGCTCATCTAAAACCTCATTAATCAACCACCACAGGCTCGAAAAGCTGCGAAATTCACCTCAGGGCCTTTATCCAGATGCTTTTGCAAGGCAATCATGTTGATGAGGATCTCTGCGTTATTGGAATCCTTGTCCAAAGCCTCCTGTAGGGCGGCATCGGCCTCCTCGTACTTTCCTTGCCCTATGAAAGTAACGGCTTGGCCATTCAACAGCAAGGGAGTAGCCCCGAATTTATCCACCAGCTCCTGGTAGATATAGTAGGCGTCCTGCAGCTTATCGCCACCCTAAAAGCGAAGCTTAAGGCTCAACAGTTGTTCTAATCCCACTACCAACCAATGCAGTGTGGATCCAGGCTTGCGCCAGCTGAGTCAACGTGGCATCGTCATCCTTCTCCTGCATTTCCTTCAGCTTCTTTAAGGCAAGGTCGACTCGATCCAAGGCCAGCAGGATGTGCACCATAAAGGCCAGAGCCTCGAGGCTTTCGGAAGAATGTAAATATCGATAGGCCGCATCCAGGTTGCCTTCTTGAATGTATATTGTGGCTGCCACCAGAACTAAGGTCTCATTGCCAGCTACAGTGTCAACCTTAACGGCAATCTGCTCCAGAACAGCAGTTCTATTTGACTTGGAATGCAGATACTCAGCCAGCATTTTCAAGGGATAAATTTCCGGGGCGGAGGCTATCTGAATTTCATCCAGAACTACCAAGAACTTATTCTGGGCAATGTAGGAGCGATAAGTGAAAATGTCCCGAAGCGTCGCGATTTCAGGGGTGGACGGCTGGAAGTATTCAAGCCTTTGGCCAAGGGCCCTGATGTTTAACTTCAGATTAATACCTTGCGGATCTTGGCAGCCTCGTTGATGCACTGCTGGTAGTTGCCAGTGTAGAAGAAGTTCTTCACCTCGAACAACTCGTCAATTTCCGGCTGGGGCCCCATTTTTTGGGGCTCTAAGCAATTACTAAGTGTAAACGTCAGATCAAACACGAATGTGACACATAAACAATTAGCTTGGTGATTGGTGACAGTCGTGATAATTTGGCAATGTCGCTTAGAAGACCTCAAGTAACCCAGTGAAATTAGTGTTTCACCTCGGAATTCAAGATAACAAGCTCTAAACTAGTAGAAACCTTTATCTGAACATGAATGGACTGAAAACTTGTCTCAAAACCTACTTATGATAGTGTGGACGCCACTGTAGATAAATAAGGTCAAAAAACGTCTTTTTGCGAGCATTTTTTGCAAATATTTTTACGGTATTTAAATTTATTATTTTTATCGATTTTTTTATTTTAGTGGATTAAATTCTCTACAATTTGTTTAAAAAAATATGTTAAATACAAAAGTTGTCGATACTAACGTCTAGTCTAGTGTCTCAAATGCAAGTGACAGACTAAACTTGCCTTTTTTTAAATGGAATGCTGTACGTTTTATTGCATATTCGAGCTATTAGTAAAACTCTAGGCTCATTCGATATAAATGTTCTATATTGATTTTCAACTGTTTTTGAGGTAATAACCAATATTGACTGAACTTTGTAGCCACCTCGTATTACCATCGAACTTGAAAATTAGAGAAAAATGTTAACTACAAAAATTGTTATAGATTTAGAGAAAACCGGGGTATTGCCGGTTTTCTCAAAAACCGAAAAATTGGGCGGTTTTTCGAAAATTCATAGCTCCGTCATTTTTTGAGCCAGAACGCTAAAATTTTGAGCGATAGTAGGGATCATGATGTTTTTTATATGTACTAAAGATGGTTGCTTTTGGATTGTTTGATTTCTTAAAATCGCGATTTAAAAGTAGAACTAAGACTTTGAACATGTTTGGAGACTGCCTGAAATTGTTAAATAGCAAAAAAAATTTTTCTGTGTAAAAGCTATGAGTGCTACAAGATTTTACAAAGAGTTCAAAAATGTTCAGAAAGGATCAACTAAAAAAATTCAGTTGATTTTGGCTACCAAATTATAAAAGTTCTGGTAAAATATATAAAATAAATATCATAAAAAAAATCATCTTTTCGAAATAATATTTTTCTTTCTTTTGAGCTGATTAAGTAAATATAAAGCTCATGTTGAAACTAAAACTTCGCAGTCGATTAATGGAAAAAAATCAATATTCCATGTTGCGTGAATGAACGAAATATTTGAAAGTCAACTTCACTTTAGTTGAAAGTGTGAAAAAATGCTTAAAACGGAGTTTTTTAGACCTTTAACCTTCGTTAACTACAGTCGCGTCCACACTGTTATAAGTGGGTTTTGAGACAAGTTTGAGGATGTTAAGATAAACTTTTGGACGAGTTTACAGCTTGTTATCGTGAATTCCGAGATTGTTACCCTATTTTGATTAATATGACTGGACTATAGCGTATTTTCTTAGTGAACCGTTTACAGGGCGCTTCCTAATTGAGCAGAAAAAATTCGAAGGGCGCATTTCTGAGAGGTAGAAACAAATTTGTTTTAATTAATAGTTTATTTCCAGATTTGTCCGTCCACATTCTCGCTTTATTTTAGAACGTGTCATAAGGTGGGACGGCGTACTTCTGGTACAAATCATTCCAAAAAATGTACTTTTCCGACTTGGGATACCCGTAGGTCACCTCCAAGTCCTCCCCAATGTCTAGGTATTTAAACTCGTCAGGTTCCACTGGCTCCCAAGTGATGTATTGGAAAATCTCCTCATCCACTCCAGCGGGAGTGGGGTTTCTAGAAGCAACTCATTTTAAGCAAAGGGAATTTGAGGAGACATTTACCCCCACTTACAGATGCTTAGCAAAGTCAGTCCACAGCGCCATGATGCGGTTGTGGACCTTCTGGTCGGATTCCGGAAAATAGGACATATCAGTATTGTCCGGGATGGCGTCGCTGTACCATTTGCTGAAGAAGTAATTCACTTCTTCAGCATGTGTAACGTTCCCACAGCCTGTAGGATCAGTAGCTTAAACTCCCCCTAAATCCACTGTTTAACACTTACCAGGGACATTGTACTTGGGATCGCCCATTAGGCCGCTGTAGGAAAACTGGTAAAACCACACAGTGCTGTGGCTGGACATCAACTCAGCCTGCTTGATGTGAGCCTTATCGAAATCATGCACACTGTGATACTGAAATGTCAACATTGCAAAACCCTTCGGAGGACACCCTGGAAAAACACGCACCTTAATCCCCGTGGCGTCGTTGTTGTTAAACCCGCTGTCCTCAGTAAAGAAGTTGCGAATCTCCGACCCGATGGTCTGCTTCAGGGTGGGATCAGTAACATGCAGGTCAAAAGGGACTAAGATGCTGGGTTGTGCATCGTAGGCGTTCCACAGGACGGACAAATCTGTAAAAATCTGCTAAAGAAGTATCTAAACTGCGCTTTAAAAGTTTCAAATTTTTTAAAAGTTAAAAACCCGCTCAACCTGTGATAGAAAAGATACAGGTCTAAGTCTTGGTGTTGCTTTGCTTATCACTACTTACCGCCATTGGCCAAAAGTCCTAGCGACTCCTCATTGGTCATGCCGATAAAAGCCGGCACCTGATTGTAATCGCCTGCTTCAAAAAGCCCATACTGAAGCTCGGTTAAAAAGGAGTGTTCATTAGGCGCTTCCACCACAGGGCCGTAGAAAAATCCCTTGGAAATCTGATAATCTGCAGGAGACTCCTGGAAAACCTCCATCAATCAACGCTCGTTAATAAGCAGGTTTTTTTTTACAATTGAGCTGGACAATGCCAGAGAGGCGTTATCGATGGCGGCCGCAGGCACGCTTTGTAGAAACTCCAGAAGCTCACTGGAGTCTCCGCTGGTGAAACTTGGGTCAATTAACTGCGCTGTTCGATAAGTGATTTCCGTCTGGTTCCTCTGGTAGGCCCATGGAGAGAGGGCGGAGCCGCTTTCCATGATGGCTGCCCTGAATAGGCCTGAAAATCCCATTTTAGTTCCCTACATATTAAGAGCGGTAGAGGCTACCGTTAGAAGAGGGGCTGAGCAGCTGGTAGGAAACAGAGGCGGAGCCGGCGCTTTGTCCGAAAATGGTCACTTTCTCCGGGTCTCCTCCAAAATAGACGATATTTTGCTTCACCCATTTCAACGCCAGCTGTTGGTCCTTCAAGCCCAAGTTGCCCGGCAAGATTTCGTCGCCACTTGACATAAAACCTACAGAAAACCAATAAAATGTAGCAAACAAAACCCTAATAGTGTAAATCTAACCAAAAGGCCCCAACCTATAGTTGATGGCAACAAAGACCACATTAGCATCCATGAAGAACTTCGGCCCCACGCCGCCTTCCGGTTGGTAAGCAGCCCCCGATATAAACCCGCCGCCATGTATCCAGACCATAACAGCCAGCTCCGAAGCAAATGAGTTGCTCAAATCCTGCAAAACCTCATCTGTAGCACAATCTGCACCCGCTCACCGGCTTTAGCGGCTTACCACTGGCGTGTAGACGTTGGCAAAGAGGCAGTCCTCATTCTCCTTGTAGCTGTTCTCATACACTTGATAGCAGACGTTCTTCTCAACAGTCCCATCGTAGATTCCGTCCCAAGACTCGACTATTTTTGATGGCTGTGCCATCGCACTTTAGTTACGTTCTTAAGGGACTTACCAGCTTACCTTGAAGCGCAAAGCGCCGACTGGAGGCTGCGCATACCTCAAGGCGAAGAAACTGTGATATGTGACGCCGTTTCGGGTGGAATCCGTCGTACCTTCCACTTGACCATCGGGCAGTTGGATGATTATCCCAGTTGAAAGCTGTGAAGTTTACAGGGATGAACACTAGTTGGAAGGGGGGCAGGGAAGTTACCTGAATGAGCACCAAGCTAACGAAGACGTTCCTCAACATGTTGCTGATGGCCACGGTGCAAAACCAAATGTTCGATAATGGCTCTTGAAAACTTGGTCGGTTACATCAGGAAACTTTCCCAAACACTTCAACCTTATCAGCTACTTGAGGTTTTCAGCTACGACTTTGGATTATTTGCGGCAATCATGGTCTTGCAGCGTGGCGTTCAGCTGTTTTTCCTACTGAGTGCTCTTTTGCAACTCCCCGCATCAAATGGGGAGGTGCTGGTGGATTTGCCCAATGGTAGAATTCAAGGCCTCACTCAATACACCTACTCAGGAGTGGAATATAACTCATTTTATGGAGTGCGGTATGGCCGAAGCCCGGTGGAAGAACTGAGATTTCAGGTCAGTCCTGGTAGACGCCCTCAAAGTGGCTCTAAAAGTTTGCCGCCTCATTCCAGCCCCCACAGCCAGTGGAAGCTTGGGAGGATGTGTTCGATGCAACGGAGGAAAAGGGGATTTGCTTTCAAGTGCCTGGCGACTTCGACTTGGAGACTGAAGACTGTCTTCTCTTGAATTTATATACGCCAGCTGTGGTAAGTTTTGTTGGGGACGTTTGCTGGATTGAGCGCTGATTGAGGATCTTTAAAAGAACGCTTCCGCTGGACTGCCGGTGATGTTCTTCATCCATGGAGGCGGATTTGTGGAGGGCAGCGGAATACTCAGCTGGGGCGTGGGACCGCAGTTTTTCATGGAGTATGGAGTGATAATGGTCGCAATCAACTATCGAATTGGCCCTTTTGGTAGATAAACTTTCCATCAGTTATTCGGGTGAATATTTCCAAATTCCTCCAGGTTATCTATCGACTGGGGACGAAGTGATTCCTGGCAACGTCGGGTCGAAGGACCAAATCCTGGCCCTTCAATGGGTGAAGGAAAACATCCGATTCTTTGGCGGAGATCCGGACAAAGTCACGGTGTTCGGCCAGAGTGCGGGCGCAGCCTCCATTTCCTATCTCCTGCTTAGTCCTTTGGCTGAAGGTGCGCCACAACTAGGGCCTGGGTAACACTGTGTTGAGATGCGCTTTTGAGTTGTTGCCGCTCTCTGAGTTAATTAGTTATAACTCATTTACCGATGACCGAGACTGGAATTTTAACATCTGACGAAAGGTCATCAACTCCTAAAAATTCATTGAGTTACCCAGGCCTACCCCCAACTGATTGAAATTGAGGTTTCCTTACCGGCTAGCGTTTTAGGGTTGTTCAGGGCCGCGATTTTGGAAAGCGGCTCCGCCCTCAATCCTTGGGCCTACCAGCGGGACCAGGTAGAAATCACCTACCAAACGGCCGCTCTGTTAAATGCGGAATTTGAAACCAACAGAAACAGCTCGGATCTTTTGCGGTTTCTTCAGAGTGTGCCTGGAAAGGAGCTGGATGCCGCTTCTTATGCCATCAGCGAGCAATTGGTTAAGATGCCAGTTGGATGCAACGTTATTGAATACATTGAGGTTTTTGCAGGATAATCCGGGAAATTTGCAGATTTCCAAGGGATTCTACTGGACGCCAGTGATCGAGAGCCAGTACGAGGGGGCTTTTCTAACCCAAAGACAGTATGAAGGTTTTGAGAGCGGCAGCTTCATTCGGGTGCCGATTTTGATCGGTTTCAATGCGGAGGAGAGCATGTTCATGCTGTCCAGTATGTAATGGATAAATCTGGGCAGTTCATTGGCAATATTTACACTCTTTTAGGCACTTTTGAGACAACACTCAAAGCGTACGATGAAAACAGCAAGTTTTTGGTGCCATTCGACTTCCACGTGGAGGAGCAGCAGATGCTTTCGGAAATTGGGGATGAAATCAAGGAGTTTTACTCCCCTGATCGGGAATTGGAGGACAATACCCTGGGGGGACTGCAAGTGAGGAATTTTCCAGTTAGTTGAAATTGTGGGAATTTTGAGCCGTTTTTCAGTATCATTCCACTCAAGACTTTGATAAGGCCGTGCTTAAGCAGGCGGAACTGGCTGCTGCCTTTGTGCCGGTTTACCTCTACGAGTTTACCTATAGTGGGCCGATGGGCAACAACCAGTATAAACTGGAAGGTACTGGATTTTTGCCCATTTTTGCATAGTTTTGCTGAAGATTCAGCTTCGGCAGGTTCTGGCGCCGTTCGGCATGGCGAAGAGCAAAACTACATCTTCAACCGCTGGTACAGTGATGAGATCCCCGATAACTCCGACTTGAGCAAATTTCCAGAGGCTGATGCCAAAGTGCGATCCAGATTTTTGACGCTGTTCACCAACTTTGCCAAGGAACTGTGAGTTTTCCATTGATATTTAGACAGTTGTTTACATTTAGTGTTTGAAGCAATCCCACTCCTGGTCAAGAGGAGATGCTGCAAAGCATCATCTGGCCAACACTGCAGCCAGATGATTGGCAATATCTGGAAATTGGGGAGGACTTGACGGTGCACGCCAATGTGCCCAAAGCCGCCATGTACAGCTTCTGGCAAAACATCTACAACATTTACGCGCAAAAGCCTTTGGATACTTACTAAGTTTGGCTAAATAAAAATTTAAACAGGAAAATACTGGAATTTGCGATGCAGTTTGGGGGTTGAAAATGGTTTTTTTGCCAGCCGAAAACGTTCAATGGCAGAGCTGTGGATAATACAAAAATCTTAAACTTCAACTGCAAATTCAAAAATTCCTGTAACATTTGCAAAAGCACCGATTGCCTTGACACTTTCAGCAAATATACCGAGAAGTCTTCTCTATTGACTGAAGAAATTGCCGCGTAAGTGACAATTATGGTTCTTGAGTAACGCTCATCTTTAAAACAGTCCGCAAAGACAGACGTTTGCGACTAAGTAAAGCTGGCACATGTAAATTGAAAAATTCGTATAAAATCAGGAAATGTACTGATCGCATTGCAACTTTAGCAAAATGTAGAGCAAAGTGTGATCTATTCACTGAGGCAAATTGTAGTTTAGACACATTTACCACTTTAGAGGAACGCAATTCTTCAAAACAAAAAATGACAACAAGAAGAAAAGACACACGAATTAGCAATAGCAAATTAAAAAATCCCTATAAAACCAGCAAAATAACTGATCGCATGGAAACTTTCGAAAAATATTGCCAAAACTTAGCGCTATTGAACGGCGTAAATAGCAAGTTAGTCACAATCCCTCTTTTTGAGTACCGCTCCTCTTTAGAACAATCCGCAAAAGGTGAAGTTTAGGACAAACAGGAGCTGGAAAATGCAAATTCAAAAATTCCTGGAAACTCAGTAAAAACAGGTATCCTAATGAAACTCTGAGCAAATGTAGACCGAAGTTTTCTCTATCGACTGAGGGAAATTGCGGTTTAGCGCCATTAACGACGCTAGAGTTACGCTCATCTTCAAAATAGTCTGAAAAAGTTACGGTGTGTAACAAATTCAAAAATTCCCATAAAATCACCAAAAGCACTGAGTGCAATGAAACTTTGAATTGCAATAAAAAATGAATTGAACATTGAATTTTTATTTCTCGGCTATTAGCGCAAATTGAAAAATTCCTAAACAATCAACAATCGCAGTGAAACTTTGAACAAATATAGAGCAAACTGTTATATAATAAATCTCTAATAGAGCCGGATCAAAGCAACTGAAATCAGTGGCAAACATCAGATGCAAATGAATTGAGCATTGAATCTGTCGACAAATAGAGCCCCTATTTCTCGGCAATTAAGCGAGGAACTTGAACCGTTCGGAGCTCGGTGGGAAACCTTAGTGTAAATTTCCAAATAGTAAGTAAAACGTGCCAGAAATAGACGCGAAAATACGCCCCAACCAGGTCAAATTATATCTTATTCCCATAGTGAGGATACTAAATTAAGGATTTAATTAATTTTATTAAACTTCATTTTTCCCGGTGCTGGTAAAGCTGGCAGTTAAAGCGAGAATCAGGATTACGAAGCAAAGACTGAAATGTAAAAAAAATCGGATTACTTGCCTCAATCCTCTCCACTGATGAGGGCTTTCACATGTTTCACATCAAATATTCTTTCCCTCTAAAGTGGAACGTGATTAGGGCTGTTCGGTCCCTCACATATCGGAAAATTCATATTTTATTCGACCAAAAAAGGAGTGAAACCGTTTTCCGACTGCTGCTAATTGCAATATTTTCTTGATTTTCAGCACGAAAACAATAGAAAAGTGGGCAATCCTAAAGCGGGGTGTTAAAGCCGGAACGCTTCTGGTATGCAAGTGGAGATTAACCCCGATTGTATTCACCCGATTAAAGCCCATCTCCAACAATGTTTCATCTGTTTCTCGTCTTTAATTTACTCAGCAGTGAATCTTCGCTTTCATATCAATTTTTATACGCTATCAAACATTCAATTCGAAAGCCACTCGTAGAGTGAACATTACTCGGCTCTTCAGTATTCCGAAGTGTAGACGTGCGATAAGACAACCAGTTTTGCCGGAAAAGAGAAATAAAACCATTGAACGACCGGACGACAGTGGAATACATAATTTTAACATCCACAGAATTTGCAAACATTTTACGGTCTTCTAGAGGCTAGCGCGATTTAAAGTTCAATTTTCCTGAGTTTCGAGAAGAAGCTAACTGAAAAGAAATGCTTCTAGATCATTCTATTTTGGGCATATTTCGACATAAGGCTGCAATTACCCGAAACTGAAAGTAATTAAAGAGTAAGCGAGTCTGGTATCGGGCGAGGGCCTTAAAAGAACGAAATTAAATTTGATAACTAAAGCAGATCAATCTAAATACTAAATAAGAGCTTAGAGTTATAATGCCCGTCTTTATAGATAAGTTCTATATTGTATAAATTTTTGTCTTTAAAAAAGACAGAATTTCCTCACGTCTTTTATTACAGATTGATAAATAGTGCTCCTATTTCGTAATAAGAACGAATTATTTA